CAGGCTCCGCGCGCCGCCCTCGGTACGGTCTTGAGCTGCGCTCCGGTGATGGCGGGCGATGTTCAGGCTCCGCGCGCCGCTCTGGGCGCGACCCTGGGCTGCCCTCCGGCGATGACGGGCGAGGTTCAGGCTCCGCGCGCCGCCCTCGGTACGGTCTTGAGCTGTGCTCTGGTGATGGCGGGCGATGTTCACGCTCCGCGCGCCGCTCTGGGCGCGACCCTGGGCTGCCCTCCGGCGATGACGGGTGAAGGTCGGGCGGCTCCACGGGAGCACGCCCAGCCGAGAGTGCGGGAGAGTGCGGCGGCGACGCTTCCGGGCTGTGGTGGGAAGTCGCCGGTCTTGTGGCCATGATGAAGTATAAAAGGGGTCTTGGTTTTTTTTGGGGGTCTTTTTTTTGAGTTGCAGAGCTCGACTCTGCAAGTGAAAGGCTTCGAGATTGAGATTGTGGTTTCTGGAGAGAACAACTGAGGGTTCCTATGTACGGGCAATGACACTTTATATCCCCCTTTCCCTGTAGCACCAACGGAGACATGCCCACGGTGCTGATTCAGGTGAGGCTACACCCGCACTTTCCATCTGCACGCTTTTCTGGTCCTTTGTTTCCTATTCGCCACGGGGTCTGTCACAACAGCAATTCTGAGGTCGTACCGGGGAAAGAGGGGGGTGATGCTTGGGTGAGTGATAGGCGCCTGTCGTCGCCGCGTTTTTCCTTTATGAAGCAATGGATACGGCGCTAAGAGTTGTCAGACTGCTGCCCCTTGATAGTATCGTTGTAACGAGAGCCGGTGGCAGTGGGGGGGATGCGCTACAATGCCAAGATCAGTTCTTTGTTGCTTGCTGACAGCGTCAACTTTTGCGCGACGTCGGCCGTTGGTTTCACGTTATTCCGCTTGGTGGTACCGCAGTCATCACTCATCAAGACAAAACGGCCACAGCCCCAATATTCACTTTTCTGGGTCGTCTCTCGGTAGCATCATGGCTTGGCGGCCGCTGCCCTGGCTTGTAACCGCCAGACAAGGCGTCCCTTTATCCTGCGTGTCATGGAGGCGAGCCCTTTTGCAAGCGCCCTCGGCTCGGTTGTGTTGACGGGCAAGGGACGGCAAACATCATCCAAGTGTCTGCGGGTACAAATGAGGGACAGGAGGTGTTGTCAACGTCATCAACGTCGAGGACAAACCTGTCACAAGTTGGAGAAAAAGGAAGCATTATTTGCAAGAAAATCTGTTTTCCGAAGCCCTCTTTTTTTTTTGCAACATGAGCCAGCTTTTTCGATGTGATAGTAGTAGGTCTGCTCCGTCCAGTATCTGCCCTGGAGGAAGACTCCGAAACCTCACAATGTAAACGTCCGTTTCGACAGTAGAGACAATGCAAAAACAGCGACAGCAAATATTTGACTCGGCTATTTTCACCTTGTTTATCGGTAGTGCATGCCAGATCTCAACACGTTGGCGGAGCAGGATCCTTGCTTCCATCTGCGAGGTAATTGTAGAGAGGCGCAGCTAGCGTCTATCGGGTGTCAACCATGCAGACAACACACCCAAACATGTTTCTGACCGGCCACTAGCTGGCAGAGCCTCTGCGCATCGTGATCCTTTTGTGCTGCATGTGGCTGGATTCAGTAAGCGAGCTAGTTTGCTTTGAATCTTCAGCATCACATCTAACCGTACCAACTGAGACATGCAGCGGGAATCTTCCGCAAGAGAGAGACTGGTGTGTTCGTCCTTGACCATATCGGCAGCGGGGTCATCGGGATTTGCGGTTTCCAAGCATGTTCGTCACAGCCACTTTCATTCGACACTACCAGCTGGTGGCTTTTTGAACAGTTCTCTACGCGACTCCACGGATACTCTATATTATACACCTCCCCCACTCTTGCCAAGCGCGGCTTGGAAAATGACGCTGCTTCCCAAGTACGAAAATGTCGCAGAGGTCGAATGTGCCTGGAATTTCTTACTCAAAAGAGAAGCTGGTCCTCTCTTTTGAAGCCTGCAGGACACGACACTAGTAATGGCCGTCACAACGGGCCGACCGTTGCGCGACACTTGACAGGTTGTGAATGGTGACAAGACAGCCATGTCCCCCCGCACTTAAGACGGTCCAGACCCTGAGCAAAATAGCAACAGCCCACTTTGCGATTAGCGGTGTATAACTTTGGATCGTCCCAAGATCCCTGGAAACTGCCAACTGCGCCTGGGGCAGATCAGGTCGTGCGAAGGGGGGAGGGGGTTGAATATATAAGAATGGCCCGTCGTCTGCGCTAGCATCGCGGCGGAGATACTTGCTTCTCAGCCGCGTCCCCGAAACAACATCATCATGGCGGTCGACTCCGAGTCAAGGCCCGCCGTCGCGGGAAAGCCAGACCAGGGCAAGGCAGAGGGCAGCGTCCACAACGGCATCAAGACGACCCCTGCTGTCTCTCCAGCAGTGGGCGGTGGCTACTCGGACATTGACGGCATCGCGGACAAATTCCGCCAGCACCTCGTCGTTCCCGTGGTGGACAAGTCTACGGGTGCGTCTTCGTGGACGGCTCTCGTCCCGCGAGACGTAATTACAAAAAGGGGCGTCTCGGTCGACAGTATAAACGACGCCATTTCATCACAGGAGCACTGGCGGGCCGGCGACGTCGTCGTGGCCGGCATCACCGTGCGAGCCGTCATTGGGCCGCGCGGCCTGCTGCTCTCCACACAAGACGCCGACAAATCGCAGCAGACGACGTCGGTGCACCTCGACGAGAGCGGCTCGTCGGCGCACGTGTCGCTGGTGGTGCGGCCCGACGGCCGTCTCGAGGTGCACAAGACGTGCGCACACGCGGGCATCGATGAGAACGGGCGACCATGGCTGGAGCGCCAGCACCGCTTCCTGGAGACAAGCCTCGCCGCGCGGGACACGGACATTTTCGTGCGCCCGCTACGGCGCACCGCCAGCGCCGCCGCCTTCTCGATTGACTTTCCGTACCTGCCCAGCCAGACGCTCGCGCAGCTGGCCATGGCGGGCATGGGCGGGCCGCTGTTGCTCGGCACAGCGAGCGCGCTGCTCGGCGAGATGGCGGGAAGCGTGTGGCCGCGGAGCGCCACGGAGGCGCCGCGCGACTTTATCGAAAAGGCGCACTTTGACCGCATGGACCGCCGCGTCGCCATTGCGCGCGCCGCCGTGCCGGCGCTCGCCGCCATTGCCGACAGCCCCGAGATTGTGCTCAACGGCCGCACGCTGCTCGGCTTCCGCGCCGTCACGGCGCAGTTGCGCAGCCACCCGGCCCTGCAGGCCTTGGCGCCGACGCTCATCGGCGAGATCCATGGCGACCTCAACCTGCACAATATCCTGTGCTGCGTTGGGCCGGCGGCGACGCGGCCCGTCGCGCTCATCGACCCGCGCGGCGTGCACCTGCTCAGCGACTTTGCTAGCACGCGCGACTTCGAGCCGGGCGACTATGCGTACGAGCTGTCCAAGCTAAAATTTTCACTATCGGCCTTTTCCGAGATCCGGCACGGGTTCCTGGCCGTGCAGAGCGAGAGCGACACCGAATTTCGCATACGCTTCGCGCACCACCCGGGCTCGGAAACGATGCGGCAGGCAGACGCGGGCTTCTTCGCCGCGCTGGCGGGGAATGCCGACTTTATGCGCTGGGTCGACCGCGTCGAGCCGGCCGGGTTCGAGGCGCTGCGGAAGCGGGTGCTGCTAGGCGAGGCGGCGAATTTCGTCGCGGACGCGGCGTGCGCGCTGGGACGGGACACGGCGCACGAGGTGGTTCCGCTCTTCCTCATCGGCCTCGACAAGCTCAACAGCGTCTTAGCGACGCTCCACGACACCATCTCCGAGCACAAGCTGGACGACTGGTTCGCGCGTGGCGGCGGGCAGCACACGACGGCGGGCATCCTGGCCGTGCAGCAGTCGCTGCTCCAGTCCCGCGGCAACGCGCCGCTGTGGGATGTCATTGAGATGTCGGTCCCGGCCGGCCAGGTGGCCACGGCGCGGGGTCTTCTCGCGACGCTGCGCGGCAAATGCTTCCCGCGCCAGACGAGCATCTACGCTTCTTCGGCGCCGCCGCCTGCTGGGCTCACGTTCCCGTGTGTCGTGCTCCACGGCCTCGACGAGGTGCAGGGCGCGACAGAGGCGGTGCTTTCCGGGATGGCGCAGGCCGATGCCTTTTTTAAGGCCGCTGGGGTGTCGGAGAGCAGGAGGAGCGCGCTGCGCATCATTTCCGTACACTCTGCGGCGGCGGCGGGCAACCCGTTTGGACGGCGGGGCGGCCGGCTCTGGGCGCCGGGGCCCTGGGGCGCGTCGCCGCTCGCGCTGCTTCTCCTGACGGCGCAGCAGCTGCGTTTTGCGCGCGGCGGGCGGTGGCTGCTGGGCGATGCGTCCTTTTTCATAGCAAGCAGGGCGCTCGAGCCGGCGACTGGTCATGTGTGCGTACTGGCCGGCGCGCCGAAGGGCACGCAGAGCCCTGCCGTATTTCTCTCTACAGAAGCCGGCACGGCCTTGTTGGTCCAAGGCAGCAGCAGCAGCAGCAGCACCGACGTCGCGTTGGCATCGACGTCGGACAAGGGTCCGTGGGCCGAGGAGGTGGTGCATCGCGCCTCGGCGGTGGCGGTGGGCGACGTCGACGAGGCCGGGGTTGGGAGCATCTCGGGCGGAGACAAGATGGGTGTTTATCAATTCGGCTCGCAGGAAGAGTACAGGGCACTGCTGGACAGGGCAAAGAGTGACGCAGACATGAATAGTCTAGCGTTTTTGGCGGCGACGCTGGCATGGCGGGAGCAGTGGGCTATTGGGGAGTGAGAGGTCAATGGAGGGACAACCATGAAGTAAATAGAACAAATCAAGCCACAGCAAATTACACATAGATGGCTTCGTGTGTAGGTCAGTGATGGATACATACACAAATGTCTCCCAGTCGTAACCGTGCAATTCGTTTGTGGATGGATGGCATGTACCGTGTGGTACGATGTGCGGCTGTTGTGGCTGCAGATTGCCAATACAAAGGATTCTGCAGAGGAAGAGGGGCGAGCAAAAGGCGGCTCAGCACATGCAAATCTGAGGCAGCTTGAGGACCAGTGCGTATGAATCCTTGGCAACAAGGTGTAGTGATGTGCGCGTGGCGTCGTGGTGGTGGTGGTGGTGGCTGGACAAACGGCTCTTTCAGGTCTCGTCCATCTCGTTGTCCATCATCGTCACCAGGTTAGTCTAAACCTTGTTGTCGTCTTGGGGCAGGCCAATTTCCTTGTCCACGGGCGATGCAGCTTGATCTGGTTAGTCTCGGCCGTGGCTTGAAAACTTGTTGCAGTGGGATGAAGCTAAGAAGACGAATTAATACCTGGTGGGCGAGCCATCTGAGCTTTTTCGCTACCCCGACGTGGGGCTCCGGCCCTTTTTTCCCCAGAGTGTGCCACTGGCCCAAGCTGCTCTGCCAAGTCTTTCTTGCCCAAGGTCTTGGACGCAACTCGGTACAAAGAAAGAAAACAAATGATGCCGGGGAAGCACGGGGAGGAGTACTTTGTTGCTTCCTTTTCATACCTTTGCGGCATCAGCATTGGGCTCTGCTATAGTAGCAGCGCAGGAAGCTATGCAGCAGAGTACGGACGTGGCTGTGGACAAAGCTCAGGCTATAACACGGGTGTGCGGTAACAGGGGTCTCGCACAAGAGCCTCGCAAACTGCTCTCTGGGGATGCAAGACACTGTCAGAGTGGCGTACACTATTGGAAACAGATGACCTGTTGAGCCCAGCTTCCCGCAGTCCGCACAAGACTTAGCTCGACGTCGATGCCGCCAACCCGGTCCATCCGGGCCTGGCCTCCCTTTTTAGTACACACGGCCACATGCTTTGTTTTTCTTTCGTTCCTCTGTTCCTTCCCATTGCTTGGCCCGTGTAGAACAAAATCGGTGACCCGCCGTTCTCCATCTCACCTCGTCTTCCCCTTTGACCCTATCACTTCTCCGCCACCTCCCCCGCAAACACGCCTTCCCTGATCGCCTCGAACTCGCGTGCCCTTGGAAGAATTTTTTTTTTGCCCCAACCACATCAACTGTTATTGGGAGAAATCGGATAATATCGAATCAAAATGACGAGCTATCAGATTACCAGAAAGGAGCTCGTCTCGGACGCAGTGAACCGCGCCGCCATATTTGTGCTTATGCTCGGATCCGTCATCACCGGCGCCACCAGCCACCAACCGAAAGCCTTTACCATGCTCTACATTTTTGTACGAAAAGACCTTTGGATCCAATTCTTTTGAAACAAGACGCAGAAAATCCATGAAGATACTAATGCGGCACTGCAGGGCTCTCTCGCAATTGTGCTCTCCGGCGTCATGCTCCTCCACGGCGTCTTCCGCATCGTCACCAAGCGTCATCCCGAGACCAACATGCGCAAGGCCGTAATGAAGCTGCCCTTTGAGCTCATCCTCATTGCCCTTCTCGTTTTGTGCACCTACTACGGTTTCTCCGTCTCAGGTCACCGTGGCGCCGATGGCTATCTGGACAGTGATGTCTCTGCCCGTCGCGTCGCTTGCGGGTTCCTCGGTCTCGTCGCTGCGTACGTATTCTTGCCAAGAGTATTTGACCTCCAAATTTTAACTAATCCTTTTCATTCACAGTGGTGCGCAAATTATCCATGCCCCCGCTGCCATGGTCAACTGCCTCAAGGCCAAGTACGCCGCAAACGACTTGCGCGAGAAGCACGATGCGGAGGCTGCCTCGCGTGTTGTCTAGACGAAGCTGCGAATCGCCAGTTTTGGTGGCGAGCCGACTGTTTGATAGGGACAGCTAGATTCACTTTGTGACGGCTCGACCAAGATACCACTGTGCATGATTGTTTGGTGTGATTGGAGGGCAAAAGAGTAGGGCAGGGGGATATGCCTAGACGGTAATGCAAATAATGATATATTGAAGAGTTACCCTTGTATAACTACCAAAGCCGGCTGTCTCAATTTGAATAGTTGCTTACGCTACGCCCCAGTAGAATACCTGATGACGTGGTAATGTGACTGAAACGTGCGAATCGAAGCATTGTCGAAACTCACGCCCCATACCGCGCTCAACTCGTACGTGTAAACCAGCACGTGCGAAGGAAATGCTCTGATGAGACCTTGCTGTTGGCCGTTTCAGTTTACGTACCCTACTTTTTTGAAAATCGGTAACTCGTCTATGCTGCAACAAGCAGTTACACAAGTCCAGCTTATCCACCAGGTAGAGCTGTGGGCGAACAATGCCGTATTGGTGGCTCTCCATGAACAGCCGGCTGCGAATTGACTTGCCGGCTTCACACCGACCAGGAACGGCAACGTCGCGACAAAATGACACAGGTGCCTGCTATTCCCTTCCATAGCGCATATAGACGTACAGTGTAAATACACAGTGTGCGCTCACCACCACACCCTGGATAATCCAGGCACATCCAAACCTACCCACCTAGTTCAGCTCGCATAGCCCGTATCCCTCGCTCCCTCGTCTGAAACTCTCGCCCAAACACACAACCCAAAATCCGCGCGCCATGTCGCACCTCGTCAACTTTTCCATCCCGGACCTCACGCGGCACCGCACCGCCGTCGCGCTGCTCCCCGTCGTCCTGCCCGCCGCCTACGTCGCGTACCTGCACTGGGCCGTTTGGCGCAGCACGACGCGCACCACCGGGCAGCTCTCCCCCTCCTCCGCCCACGCACCGGCCGCGCCCAAGGGCCTGCCGGCCGACGTCGCCGCGCACCCCGACGACTGGGTCGTCTGCTACGAGCGGGTCGTCTCCGGCCCAGTCTCCGCCGCGACGCTCGTGCACAAGCTCCGCGGCGGCAGTGGCAACACACCGGGCCCGCTCCTCACGGCATACCTGCGCACCACGTTCAAGGCGTTTAGCTGGACGCCGCAGGCGCTGCTCATCCGCGCCATGGTCGCGGAGCCGGTGCGCAAGGCGAGCTTTGCGGCGGCGCACGTGGACGGCCTGGCGTTTGCGGGCGGCGACGTCGTCGACGGCGTGTACAGGGTGACGAGCTACGAGTGCAAGGAGAGCGGCGGCGGCGGGGAGGCGGTTGAGCTGAGCATCGACACGCCGAGCTCGTATGCGGGACCGCCGGTGCGCGGGCTGATCCGGTCGGCGGTGGAGGAGGGCAAGGGCGGCGGCGACGAGGTCCGGTTCGTGAATGAGACGTGGCTGTGGCGCGGCAGGCGCGAGAAGCCGACGATGCTGGAGAACGCGCTGGGCAGGTGGCTGCACGGCTTGCTGGCGGGGTGGCTGGTGATGAAGGGCGTGGGAGGCGTGACGCGCAGGTGAATGGCGTGGGAAAGTGGTGCGGCAAACTGATCAAATATATCTCTGCTCAGGTACTCTGTTTCGTTGTCTGGAACAACAATTCGCGTTCTATTAATATGATATCTCCTCTGGAAAACCTTCATGCGTTTTTGTGTATCGCGGTTACAGTCTTTTACAGGAGAGCAGCGGCGCAAACGGCCACGGCCAGGACTACGAAGCCGCTGCTCGCCGTGGTGCCCGCAGCCGCGCTCTTGGGCTTGCTCGTCTGGCTTGGATTGGCACTGCCCGAAGCACTGTCTGCGGCGGATCCCGAGCCAGATCCTGAGCCGGAACCGCTCCCGGAACCGCTCCCGGAACCGCTCCCGGAATCACTAAACTTGCCCGCGGCGGTAATCGTGTACACGGTGCCGTCGGCGCCGTTTGTGTAAGAAAAGACTCTGCCCGAAGCGGGCGCGGTGACAGTGCCCGCGACGTTGCTGAGGGTAGCGGTGCCGGTCGTGAGCGGGTCGCTCGGCTTGAGGTAGCTGCTGACGCCGTCGAGGTGGAAGCCAAAGTCCTTGACGCAGTCGTACGTGTCGAGGTACTTGCCGCAGCTGGTGAACTGTGTGTTGGCGGCGGACTGCAGCTGGCCGAGGTTGCTGAGGCCGAGGAGCTTGGGGTCCGTGCTGGGGCAGATTTCAAAGAAGCTGCCGAGTTGTCGTGTTAGTGCCTTGTTTCCCTTTGGCCTTTGTTCTTTTCTTTGGTTCCCTTGATATACACACACACACAGACACATCCAGGGCCTCGACATACCTAGAAAAGGCGCCGCTGACCTGGCAGCAGTTGCAGCCCTGCATGGCCTGCAGGTTGGCGCCGGCGTCGGCCGAGTTCTGCTTCTGCACGCACTGCGCCGCCTGCTGGATGGCGCCGTTGTACGCGAAGAAGACCCTACCGAGGTTGCACGAGCAGGCGGCGCGGGCGTCGGCCGGGGCGGGAAAGTACGGCACGGGCTGCTTCGCGATGGGGCAGCCGCGAAAGTACTGCACCATGTACTCCTGGTACTGGCAGCCCCAGACCTGGTTCCAGCAGTGGGCGGCGTAGCAGTTGGCGTTGTCGATGGGGTCCTGGCACCCGCAGGCGAGCAGCTCCTGCTGGCTGCCGTCCTTTTTCGCCTGCGCGATGCAGGCGCTCGTCTTGGTGGTGACGGCGGCCTGGCACGATGCGAAGCCCGCGGGGTCGACACAGCCGTCCTTGGTGAGGGTCACGTCGGCGCCGACAAGGCCGCGGCGATGGCGAGGACGGCGAGGAGAGACGCGAGCATGGCGGGCCGGTCGGGGGTTCGGTCAGGGTGTGTTGGGGAGACGACGAGGAGGCAATGCGGACTACGCGGTATAAATAGCTGCATCTACGAATGGATTTATAATAACTGTGAGTCGACGAATCGATAACATCATCTTGTCCGTCAAGGTAGCCCGCAGGAGAAGCTGCCGCGCGAGCCGGTTCCGCTGCAAGGAGCCTTGTGAGGCAGATTGAGGCCTGAGGGATGTTGCCTGTTAGTCGAAATGCCGCTTTGGGGCATCACTTTTGCACAGGGCTGATGAGATTGGCAGGGCAGAAGCTGTGACCCGCGGCGCCATTCTGTATTGGGTGACAATGCGAGCCTTTGCAGCCGACTTTTTCCAGTTTGCAATTCCCAACGGGGCACTGGCGGAACATGTCCCGCATCCCGAATGGATTGTTTGTCGGGAATTGGGGAATTGCGATGCATTGGCATATCTTCCCAAGTTGCTGCCACGAAAGGGGAGTTGTCACCATGTGGTGAGGGAACCAGGTCAATATGTAGTAGAGCGAGTGTTGTGGTGTTGAAAAGGACTCCTTTTTGCATGGTTGCCAAGTCGAGGCGTTCAGTGACAGACAGCAGCAGACGGGAGCTACCCGGGTGCCGTCTTGGCATAGCTGGCCTTGATGCACGGCACGGCCGCTGTCCCATCTCGACTTGAAAGATGGAGAATACGTCATGTTCAGAGTATGCCTCGCCTATCGATATCGTTGATTAGGGTCTGGTAATGATTGAAACGATTGCGGAGGCGCAGACGCTGGGGTAAACTTTGGGAGTAAGCAACGTAAAAAGCAGGTAATAGGTAGTTAGGTAGTGGACGGCATCGGTGTTTAGCGGCCATTACTTGGAGTTTGCTGGCGACACTATGGCACCCCCATGTGGAGAAGAAAAGTCGGCCATTATTGGAGGTCGGCGAAGGCGAAGAACTGTTGGCTGGACACTAGGGAAGATCCGAGAGTTGATTTTCTTCTACCTCCTGTTGGTATTTGCCACATCCTGCGGCAACCATCTTGACACAACACTGTTCTGTTGGTCCTTGAGCTTGCATTAGGGTAGCAGACGTACGTCGGTATGGAAGCGAGGCAGGAAAAAAAAGCATACGTAGGCGTCACGTGGAGATGAGGCTGCCAAGACCGCTGCTGATGGGTATCGGCACGTTGAAAGTGAGCCTGTGATGACGCTGCTGGCATTCCACGTGTTTGAGGCTGAGGGTTCGAAAGTTTTTTTGGTCTTCTCTGCTCTGTGGTCCGGAGTTTTTGGTCAAATTTTTTTCTCTCTTTTATCGGCAGATCCCGACCAGACCAATCAGCAGGCGGGATATGGTCGAGAACTGCTTCTTGGAGGATAGGCTATCGGGAACCAAGAGTGACTAGACCTGTTGTGGGTGATTGCCGGTGATTGATGATTGGTGAATGGGGCTGACGAGGCCTGTCCGCGTACCGCCTGTCCGCGTACCCCAGCGACCTTCAGGTACGGAGTACTACAGCGCTTGAGTGCGTACTAAGTGCCCTGACAGATGCCGACTGACGACGGTTCTCCTCCCCTGTATCCGTACTCCGTAGGTACCTACATTTGCAAGGTCGCATTGGCAGGGGAGGCCTCGTCCTCACACGACACCCAGGGAATCAGACAGGCCGTTGGCCAAGGAGCACACGACAGATTTCAAGCACTCTTCAAGCACTTATGCTGTTATTTTGAACACGGCAGGATTTCTCACGGCTATTTCTGTTATTTCCAAGTGTAATACAAAATATTCTCGTCCCAACCAACTGCGCAAAAGCCCGCTGTTCCCCTTCTCACTGCTCAGGGGCAAGTCAATCCCTCATCGTGCCCGCTTTTCCAACAAGATGTAGCTAGCCTGATTGGCCCAGCTCGGCACGCCCGAAATCTCCTTTGCTCCTTTGTGCCTCTTGCGCCTCTGCTTTCTCTCGTCCTCTTTTCCCGACTTTTGATTTCCCCCATCCACCAAACCAAACATCTTTGTGCCTTTTTCCGGGCCAAGACGCACACGACTCGAGCATCCATAGCCGTCTTGCTTCCAAAGTTTCCAAATCCCGATCTCAACGGCCTTGCTGAGCCACTAAAACACACCAGCCTAGGCTAGCCTACCCCTAGTCTTAGTCCCTGAACCAGGCTCCTGTCGCTGCTACCTCGTATATAACATAAGGCTGCCGAAAAGACGCCCTTTTCCCTCCTCGATCTCCAGCCCCGACCAACACACCACTACGCACCACCACCTCGACACCCTACTCTCCTCGTCCGCGCGCCGGTCCCACCCCCCTCGCGCACTTCTGGACACGACCGCTTCGGACGCAGAAATTGTCGACGACAACGCTCCGCGCACCATGGCTTGGCTGTCCCGGATGTTGGGCGGCAGCCGCCAGACCAAGTACGAGGCTGTCCCCGACGAGGAGGCCGGTGATGCCTCGCCCTCGAGACCCTATCGGCGCCGCTCCCGCACGCGCCTTCTCCTCCCTCGACAGCGCAAGGCCGCCGCCGTCCTCCTGTGCATTGACGTCCTCATCGTCGTCACCCTCGTCATCGTCCTCGAGCCCCTCATCACCCTGCTCCGACGCAACGAAGACCTCTTCACCCCGAGACTCGAGCTCCACAATGTCGCTGCCGCCCCAGACGTGCCGGGCGCCAAACACAAGATTCCGCGCATCCTCCACCAGACGACCCCCAACGATACGATTCCTGCCAAGTGGGTAGAGTCGCAGCGCAGCTGTAAGGAGGTGTACAAGGACTACGAGTACATGGTGAGCAGACTAACCCCCAATCTCGGCGCGAGACTCGTTGCAGCTTGCACACTTGGAACCTCATCGCTAACAAGCACCCAGCTCTGGACCGACAAGGGCGCCGAGGAATTCCTCGCTGCCAACTACTCGGACTTTGTCGAATCGTGGAAGAATTACGCTTTCCCCATCCAGCGCGCCGACGCCATCCGATACTTTGTGCTCTACCACTTTGGCGGCATCTATCTCGACATGGACACCCAGTGCAACCAGACTTTCCCCATGCAAGAAGTCGAAAATGACTCTAGTAATGACGTTGCCATTTTCAAATCCACCGCACCCACCGGCGTCACCAACGACCTCATGATTGCCTCGGCCCGTCACCCAGCCTTTACCATGGCCATCGCTCAGCTCCCCTACTACTACGCCTGGACGCGCTTCTGGGCCGAGTACGGTCCCTACATCAACATTATGCTGTCCTCGGGACCCCTCTTCATCTCGCTCGTCGTCAAGGACTACCTGCTGACGCTGCCCACCACCCCGTCGCCCACCGTCAAGGTCATCTCCCCTCCCGGCCTCGACGGCTACATCACCGATCTCGAGAGCAGTACCTGGCACCGCGCCGATGCTCAGACCCTCATGTGGCTCGGCACCCGCCCCTGGACCTGGTTCACCCTGGGTGCCGTCGGCACCTTTTTCGGCCTCTGCCTCATCAACTACCTGCTACTGGCGTTGTACGGCTTCTTCGCCCGCAGAGTGTTGAGCCTCTCGGCCCGGCTCAAGGAGGCCAAGGTGGCATAACCGTCGACATGTCTACGAAAGAGGAACCGAAAAAAAAAACTGCATCCACATGAATGGGAATGGCGTTTCACAGCAATCAATTGTATAACGGTCTACAAATAATAATAATGTCGAGTAAATAGTGTTTCAGCGTAATATAATCCATGACACGCCGAAAGGCGCATGACCAATACTTGTCTTGAACTACCGCCTGATTCTCACACCGAAACAACATAACTCCACCTTTAGGCTGCCCCAAAACAGCCGCGCGCGAGCCTGGTCGTCCACGACGTTGCTGACGGACACGAAGTTCCGCATCTCCCGGCTCCGGGTACGAATTGTCGTGGTCGCTGCGGCCAGCACATCCGCGCGGGCGAGCGGCTCCGTCGCCAGTAGCAGTAGGGCCCCAGCCGACATACTCCGGGGACAGCAGGGGCCGCATGTCTACACAACTAGATACGCACTAAATGAAAGTACGCGACTACTAACAATGGCAAGGATTGCATCGCTTCTATATACACTATCAAGCGTCGCTCCAAGTGTTGTGATGGGATAGAAGCACAACTCGGGCCGGTTTATGCCAGGTTGCGACTTTGAGTCCATAGAAGCGACCGCAAGCTGTTCAAGCAGAGTCAGTAAAGGGGAAAACAGCTATCGATTGTTAAACACGCGCGAATCAGGGTTTCGACTTGCTCATGTGGGAACACGGCAGAAACCACGCCAGCAAGAACAAGTTGAGCTGTATTGGTCTGGTAGAACCGGCGGGTTTATTAATCGCCAACTGTTTCATACCAGATAATGGCAGGGTTGTCACATGTATATATAGGTACCGATGCGTCCCAAAAGAGCTGATTTATGCAGGTTTTTCATTCATTCATGACCAAGCCATATCCAAAATACTCTAGTCCGTAAACTGCTTCTTAAACGCCAGCAGCGCCACCAGCTCGCTCGTGTCGCCGCCTGAGCGGAGAAACTCGTGATTCAGGAGCACGCTCGTCGTGGCGCGCCGCGAGGCGTCGACGACGAGGCACGTGGCGAGGAACTGCTTGAGCAGGGCGCTGTGCTTGTCGGGCGCGCGCAGCGGCGGCGTGCTGCCCGTGGCGATGAGGTACAGGGCGCGCATCGGCTCCATGTCCATGTACGGCGGCTCCGACTCGGCCATTTCAATCGCCATGATGCCCAGGCTCCAGACGTCCACCTTGTACCCGTACCGCTTCTGCTTGACCACCTCGGGCGCCATCCAGTACGTCGTGCCGACCAGCGTGGCGCGCTTGGAGCGCCGCGCCGTCAACTTGGCGCAGAACCCGAAATCGGCTTGCGCGGTCGTCTGTGTTAGCTGGGGTTTTTGGATGTTGGGAAAGAAACGTCGCAGGACAGAGGCACGCACTGATTTTGACATGGCCTCGAGAATCGATGAGGACGTTGTCACTTTTGATGTCGCGGTGGACGATTTGTTTCGAGTGGAGATGTTGCAGGCCGAGACATGTCTTTGTCGGAAAAGGATTAGAAAGCGTCTTGTTCGTGAGCCGCGGCGGGATATGCTTACCTCGCGGCACAGCGTGGCAATGTGCCGTTCACTGATGCTCGGGTTATTGTCAATCAAGTCAATCAGCGCGCCGCCGTCCATGTAGTCCATGACCACCCAGAGCATTCTGTTATCGTTGACGAGAAAGGCGTCGAGAAAATTGATGACGTTTTTGTGTTTGCCCTCCTTCATAATGGAAATTTCGTCCAGCAGCGCCTCCTTGCGCTGCTGGCGCGCCAGGTTCATCTCCTTGATGGCGACGCGGGTCTTGGGCCCCCTTTTCAGGACCAGCTCTTGCGCGATGCCGACGGCGGTGCTGCGGATACTAGCCACGTACACGGAGCCGGACGCGCCCTGGCCGACTTTCTTGTGCTTTTGGTACGACAGGTTGGGATCGTCGTTGGAGATGAGAGGCTGCAGCTTGGCAATCAGCTCGGCCTCGGACGTTGTTACATGTCGAATCGCCTGCCGGCGCCGTGAAGGGACGTTGAGTGGCGTCACCGTGTCTGGGAAGGAATGGTCTACGTTGGGCTCTGTCGCTTTCTGCACGTGAAGAGGCTCTACCCTGGGAGACCCCGTCTGATCCTGGGCTTGCGCACGCCGAGTTGTTGGCACCGGCTCGTCGTCATTGTATTTCCAGACAGGAATCACCGGCAGCTTTGGCGCCAGCTTCGGCACCTGTGGTGGCGGGCGGCTGGGGACGAGATCGGGCAGCCATTTCGGCGGCGCCTGTGGCGTCCTTTCAGGCACCTGCGCTCTTTCCACCGTGGGCTCGGGGGCCAGGTTTTGGAGCGACGAGGTGGAATCGCTCGCCGGCAGATGGTTCTCGATGCGGTCAATCTTGGTCGGGGAGAGGGCGAAGAAGCCATCCGGGTCTTCGGCCTGCTTCTGCAGATCCGAGTAGAAGTCGACCGCCTCAATCACGGCCTGGGGATTCCGCACGTAGTCCTCCTGCGTGATGGCTGACGCGCTGAGTAGCTGCACCCACTGCTGCGGCAGGCCGACGAACTGGTCGGTGGCGGCGTCGAAGCCGACGTGCACCTCGTGGAAGAAGTTTGTCGGGTGGCTCACGCCGCCGAGCCCGGGGCAGGCCATGTGCACGCAGTCAATCCAGGCGTAGAGCTCCTGCTCGGAGCGCGTCCGGATGTGCAGGATCTTGAGCGGCCCGTCCTTCTCACCGGGGCTCGTGGAGGAGCCGCCCTCGGTGCGGCGGCGCACCTCCATGGTGGGCACGCCGGCCGTCTCGGCGCGGCCCAGGGCGACAATCTCATTGAGAAACAGCGTGTAGAGCGTCTTGCCGCTCTCGGCCTTGGCAAAGTCGACCCATTCGCCGCGCAGGATCATGAAGCGCTGCTTCCACGACGGCATGAAGCCGCCCTCGCGGATGCTGACCCATCCCTCCTGCCGGGGCCGCGTGTGCTCGCGCTCGGCGACGGCATTTTGCTGCTGTCGGCGAGCGACGGAGAGCGAGACAGTCGCGCCCGTGTAGGTCGTCGTGGTGGTGTTTGGGAGCGGCGCAATGGCCGTGTTGGCAGCAGACGTTGGGTATCCAATCACGGGGTGCTTGGACGCAGCTTGCGGCATGGCGAACCGGACGGACGGGCTATGCAAAAAAAAAAAAACACGCGGTCGAATCCTCGCTGGCACGCTGTTGTATGATGAATTTTGGGTATGAGACGGTACATGGACACTAGTGAGATGCATCGTTGAAAGAGAGCCTCGTTGTGATGCCACCGCCATGGTCAGTGCACGTGATGCTTTGGAGATACAACAACCCATGGTGATACTTTTCCCAAACAGCTTCATGTTTCCGAATCACACGAAGTAAGGACACAATGATGTTGCCGCTAATTCTTTTTAATTCCTTCTTTATCCTCTATTTGGAATTCTCCCTTCGTACTTTTATCCTATATTTGAGAGACTTTCTTGGCTGCCTTGTACATTGTCGTATTTCCATGATTTACAGGTTCGCAATCTCGCTAAACAGGGTTCTGCGATTTATCATTGCCAATAGCGACAGTCTCCAAAGTGACTCCTTCGTCACTCGAATCGCCCGTTTCGTCCTTCCCGACAACTGGAACATTTTCTTTGAGCGCAATGTATGTCGGCACCGATGCAATACCTACGCCATTAGCATATCGTTACACAAGAAAAAAGAGCGGCAGCGTCTTACCTAGAAGAATGGTGTTCACGGCCAGGGGTACCCTGCCTCCGTGCCATTTTCGCGTGTTTAGACCGAAACTGATGGCCTGTGCAAAAGACTCCTGTCCGCGCAGGATGCCGGAAAGACGACTGAGCTCCGACACGCTGTTGCTCTTTGTCGCGACAAAGTAGTACATCCAGGTCTGCAAGGACTGGCGCGACCACTCCCACAGCACAAGAACAAAGAAGCCCTCGGCAAACCCAGAATCGGCCCAGTCCAGCGCAGGAGGGTTGGCTGTGTACTTTTCCTGAATCACCCAGGCATAGATCCAAGCCGCCACGTGGCAGACGACAATGTACCAGAAGGAAATCTCCAGACGGCGCTTCACGGGGAACCGCTTCCAATCGAGAAACATGCTCATCACCTGCGACGAGAAGAGCGTGCTGAAGTTGCTGACGAAGCCAATCAGGGCACGCGCCCGCACGCCAAAGTAATACGTCTGGAAGTTGCCCGAATATTGGTTGAAGTAGGCCGCCCAGAAGATGGGGAGCAGCAGCAGAATGTCCCTGCGCTTGGACAGCCTCCACAGGGACGAGAACTCATACTTGAAGCTGTTTTCCGTGTCCACCACGACCTTGGTGCCGTCGCCTCGCTGCACCTTCTCCGGCTTGGTCAGCAGCAGCGCAATCGGCGCAGCGACGCACTGCAGCGCGATGAAGATGAGGTACGTCTTGGGGTTGATGCTGCCCTTGCGCTTGGCCGCGGCGTTGTTGTTGAGGATCAGGACGACGAGCCCGCCCACGAGCGGGCCGCCGGTGCGGAACCACAGCCAGATGTTGAGGTAGCGGCCGCGCTTGGAGGCTTCCGGGTAGCCGAGCGCCACGGCGCCCTCGGCGGCCCAGAACAGCCCGGCCGAGATGCCGCAGAGCGCGGCGCCAACGAGCACCAACCAGACGTTGCCGTAGCGATTGTTGGCGTACAGCCCAGCCGAGTAGACGGGGTAGCCGACGGCGCCGAGGAAGAGTGTCCAGGCGAAGCCGATGCGGTTGGCCACGGGCCCGCCAAAGACGCACAGGAAGCCCATGAGCGCAAAGACGAGCGCGTTGGCCGCGTTGACCAGGAACGGCTCCTGCCCGCCACCGGCGCCGAGCGCGCTCATGGCGTTCCACAGCCCCGGCGCCAGGAAACCGACGGCGCCAATGACGAACGCATTAAAGAGCGTGGTCCGGTACCAGATCCTCTTGGCGGGTGGCGGATTGTGGCTGGCGGCGGGCAGAGGCGCCGTCTTTTCCAGAGTGGTTGTCATGACTCTTGTGCTGAAACTGGGTCAAAAGCCGTATAGTCGTTGTTGATCGTGCAGGTTCATCGCAAGTCGGAACAACGGCCTTTAAATGTTCACATTGTCTCAGCTGCTTTCGACCCCCACGGAAACTAGCAATTTGAACAAATACGACACCATTGTGTAGAGGATGGCGACATTGCGGGCTGGTCCGCCTTTAAATGGCATCCAAACCCACTCTTTGGTGTAAGTCGAAGCAGAACCGCTGCGAGCCGCCCGTTTTGCCGAAGAAACGCTATTAAAGGTGTATTTCCGAGAAATTATGGAGTGAAAATTCAGAATACCAGGCTTGCGACATTTCAGCTCTCGGATGTCATGGGCTTGGCAACCAACACATGGGTGTGGGATGAATGGCAGCGAACCAAAGGTGCAAATCAGTTCTCCCCTGCTTCGAGTCGTGAATTCATGATTCAACTTCAATTGCTCGACTAGCACAAACTACTACCATCCTCGAACACGACGTCAACCAACTGTCAAGACGACAATGGAGTTGCGTACCATTGAGAAGGTGAACGGGCGGTTTTGCAATATTAAAAGCCGGACCCACCACGAATTGTCCATATTCGGAGACTACTTCAGCCAAACACTAGCGTCATGCAATGGAACCTGTTCATCGTTCGTCTGTGGATACAATGACAGTCTTCAACAGCACGTGTAGGTTCTAGATTCCTCGATTTCGTCAAGTGTGCTGCTCATTCGATATATTGTCTACAATTTGCAATGTGGGAGATGGAGCATTTCTCGCGGCCCGTTGCAAACCGAACCCGTAGATAGCTGTAACCAACTTGCTCGTGGAATGGTCCAAATCTTGGGTCGAGGAAAAGAAGACACTCAAACTCGGAAACAGCAACGAGGCACATTCCAAAAAGAGGGAGTGAGGAAATGCAAAACAAATTATTAAGGAGCTCTTTTCACAGCCCAGCGTACAGAAACCTGTGTGAACAACTGTATCTATAGAATGATGCTAATCGGGGAGAGTCAAAGGTCCCTTTGCAGAACGAGCTGCCTGACCCCCACCTGACAAGGGTTCAAAGAAATGCAATTAACCGATTGCGGCACTAAAAGAAGACTGAATGACCAGGAGCATCAATACTGTGTTGTTGCAGCTACACATATTTATAGCATGATTTATTCCTTCAACATACAAGTGGCCACAGCTAAAAGAAATATCGTTCTTAATGGTGGTTGTTTGGCAGGCTGGAAATAGTTATAGTTGTTCCCCAAGTTGACGGCTTGCCACTAGCCCTATTTGGGCATAGCGCCTAACCAGCATATACCACCCGCTTAATCAGTACAGCCGCGACCAATATTTATTTCCCAGCCAGCATCAACCCCCTTTCATCCTTCAAACCTTACAAACTGACTGTATATATACACGCGTGATGCGCCGGCCCAACATAACCCCTCTGAAGCTGCGCACATCCTGGGGACGGATCCGAAAGGCCTGCTCAGAGCGCCGGAAACTGCTCTGGCAGCTGCTGTACCCGTACCCGTGGCGCTTCCAGGCGGAACCACTGCCACCCACCCACGACGTGCTCATCAAGGCTGGCCCCGACGTAGCCAGCGCGTCCCGCGTGCAGCGCAACATCCGGCAGCTCCAGTATATCCCCCTGTTCCGTCTCCGGGACACGCCGCTCTGCTCGCTCTACCGGCTCTATGAAGATTTGTGCAGCGGCAACATCATAATGATGGGCTACGAGGCCACCTACTTCTTCCACCACAACGAGGCGTCGTGGCGACTGTCCCGGATTGCAGACCCCGAGGACGCGGATGTTGTTCGATACGCTGTGCTGGCGAGCTTTGTCGAAGCGCTCGTCGCCTCGTTTAATTGGAAGATTGAGCAGGGGATGCGACGAGATGGAACCCACGCCTCGGAAGTCGGCGATAATGATGACTACCAGCTCTTCCTCGAAACAGCTCCTAGCTGGACGAGCAAGGTTGAGCCTCTCGCGGAAACGCTCAATCTACGGTTAAACTGCCAGGACGGGGCAAATGCAATTTTCCAAAAGAGGAATATTGTGGCGCCGATGGCATATCTGTATAGTGTATAAAAAATGGAGGGGACGAGTGTTGGGCCATGTATTGGGCAGGCTATTAACAGAGACGAGGCAATAAGGAGGATTACATGCTGATGCCGGGAACCCCCCATCGTTCCATGTAGGCGTCCGCAACGCACTTGATCGCATCCATATCCAGTGGGGTGTAGACGATGGTGTCCCACGACTTGACGGTTTCCAGCGCGAGAGGGCCACCGTTCTCCTCTACCATCCTGTATAAAATCTCAACCGCATCACTAATATCAATCAATCTGTACTGCGACCCGACCCTTTTGAGCTTGCGGGCCAACGACCACTCCCACTGGGCGGCGTAAATGACCAGGTTGGCGCCGCGCCAGAGCACGACATTCTGCGTGACCGAGTCGCGGAACAGGCGCTGCTTGTTGGCGCCAATGGCAAATATTTCCATCTGCGAGTTGATCCAGTCCGCAGGGAGCTCCCGCTGCCTGCACACGGCCTCGATGGCAATCTGCAGCTTCTGCTTGATCTTGTCCACCCCCGGCGTATCGGGATTCATGATGTAGTCCAAGTCTTCCGTCGAGACGCGGTTGTGGAAAAGGGTCACGGCCACGAAACCACCGGCGCTGAGAAGCTGGATCGGCGCAATCTTGGACATGTTCTTGGATTTGCCGATTTCAACGTCCAAAGCCCGGAGTGCTGGGTGTGGTTGGCCTTGGTCAGCTTTGAGTGAACGGGTGTGGCGCCGGTCCCCGGCTTACCTTGCTCAAAATCATCGCTGGAGAATTTGTGTTGGGAGGTTGAAGCCATGGTGAGGGAGGTCGCCTTTGTTGTAACAAAAAGAAGGAAATTGACTGTTGTTGTTGTTGTTTCTCGTGAGGGGTCCTACAGTGTGTAGGGCTTAGAACCTGCAGGCACTAGGTACCTAGGTTGGTAGGTGTCTGTTGTGTCTGTCGTACGTGTGTATCACTACAATTAGTAAAGCAGACAAATCCACTAGATATTAGGATGATATAAGCAATAGTGATTATAGAAGTAATTTATTTAAGGTCTAAATAAAATAATGTGTATAAGAATAGTGATTTGCTGTTCCCACTTGTATTTGTATAGTATTAGTCCTGGGTACAAAGGATAAAATTCTCAGTGGGGATTTGTTGAGTCGATATAGTGTGGCATAAGCAGCTGGTACCTCTACCTACTAACCTATCTACCTACCTACATCCTACGTATTGCTGGGTTTTCGGTGTAGTGTGCCTCTATTTTTAGTGGCATTCGCGCGTCTGTGCAAATACACAAATTTTTGATGGCACTCTCACTGGAACAATGTCCTCGTAACATGGAGCTCAATGGCCACTGGCACAACCCTTGCCACTGCGTCCACCTAGTGTTCCTCGGCCGATTCCAACAGCTGTGCAAACCAGCTTCTGTCCGTCTTCGCCAGGGTGCGCGGTACTCCGTCCTCGACCAGCTGGCCCTTGTCCATGACGAGCACCCGATCAAACAGGTCCACGACAACGCCGAGTCGATGGGAGACCATGATGACGGTGGCAGTCTGGAACTCACCCATGATCATCTCCATCATTCGGCTCTCGGTGGCGGTGTCAACCGAGCTCGTGAATTCGTCGAGGAGGAGCAGACGAGTGCCGCCAACTCTGCGCTTGAGCACTGCACGCGCCAGGCTAAACAGCTGGCGCTGGCCCTGGCTGAGCGATGCGCTTTGCAAAACAGCATCCACGCTGCCTCCGTGGTCTTGCACCACGGACCAAAGCCCGACATGCTTGAGGATATCCTGGCATTGGTCTCGGGACACTGCACCAAATGGATCGAGATTCTGAGCAATCGTGCTCCCGGAAGGCAAGAAGACAGGGTCCTGCGGTATAGTGATGAGGCGTTCCCGGAGACTCTGGCGGTCCATGGACAAGAGCGATTCGCCGTCAATGGCGACTCTAGTATTGCGTTCTGCCTCATTCAACGGCTCCAGCAAGGCGAGCAGGAGCAGAATGAACGACGACTTGCCACTGCCAGACCGTCCGCATAGTGCAACCTTTTCCCCCGGTCTAATATTGACACTCAGACCGCGGAGGGAGCAGGCTGATGGCGAGTCAACATAGCTTGCCCATGCATTGTGGACGGTGACCTCTCCGTGCGGCGGCCATGCATCTTTAGGCACGGTGTCCTTGCCGGGCAGTTTCTCAGACTCTGTGCCTTGCGCCAACGTGCGGATGCGAGTGACCGCTCCCACGGACGTTTCCATGGCAGCATAGAACGTAACGAAATCAACCAAACTTTGGCTCAGTGTCATCAGAGTCACTAGTGACGCTCCTGATATGGATGCATCAGCATTGAGGCGTGTCATCAATGCAACCAGAGCCGTTGCGGTAATGGCGACGATGATGCTCAACGACAAATTAAGCCATCGCTGAATCATTGCCAAAAGATACATCGCTTGCTGTGATTGATCTAGACGCGTCATGTTGACAGTCACGCTATTCTCGAGCCATCCGAATGCGCGGATTGTGGAAAGTCCCCGTAATGTATCCAGAAAGTGGGCGTATAGCGGACTTTTGGCCTCGAGGTCTAAAAGACGCACTTGTCGTGAGGTGCGAAGATAAAAGTGCTGCACACACCACAGGATGGCAAACAAGGCGGGATACACTAGGGCGAGCCACGGGGATGATGAAGCCAGAAGAGCTGCCATACCGATAATGGTGGTGATTTCTAGGATGACGTTGATAACCGACGACGGCAACTGTGTATCGATGAGGTTTGTATCCTGGGAAAAGTAATTGACCAACACGCCAACATCGGTCTGGGTGAATAGGCGCAGCGTCGCGTCAATGATGGTTGAGAGGGCTGTTTGGTGCAGCGCGGCGCCGCTTTGGCTGACAAACGTTGTCAGCACAACAAGGCACGTTACCACCGAGGCGATCCAGCAAGACATTTGTAGGAAGCCGTAGATGCCGATCCAGTATGCGTGAGAGTGTAGTGCGCCGTCGCCGCGGTCAAGATCGCGCGTCCAATATGTAAGCCATACCCTGGGAAAGTTTTCCAAGAATCCAAAGCAGACGCTACTGAGCAGGACAATGGCGAGCGGTAAAACGCGGATAGAACTCAAGTAATACTTGTAAACAGTACTGTCGCCAACCTGGCGCGCAGATCGACTTTTCAAACCTGGAGATGCAACATCACCATCACTGCCAGCATTGTTGCTCGACACGACGACGTTGGTGTAGTGTTCCAAGGGGATAGACACGGGCGGCGAGTGCTGCTCCAAGCTGACATCAGTTATGCATGCCTCATTTGCCCGTACACAATTCTTGGGAACCACAGGTTTCGCGGTCTCCTGGCTCACAAGTCCGTCGTGGGATATGCGGATGAGGTGATGCGCGCTTGCGACGTGTCGTTGGTTGTGTGTGCAAAGGACTACAGTCATGCCGCTCTGTTGCGCGAAGCCGTTGGCCCCCAAGACGTGGCGAAAAACATGCTCCTCAGTAGTAGCGTCAAGACCACTGAACACATCGTCGAATATTATCGTCTCTACGCCAACGGCGTATAAGGCACGAGCAATAGAGAGCCGCTGTCGCTGGCCGCCGCTTAGGGAGATACCGCCGCTGCCAACAACAGTCTGGTCTCCGAGAGGTAATGTCGCGAGGTCAACGTGCAGCATGGTGGTGTACAAGACCCTCTGATAGCGCTCCTCGGAAAATTCATTGAAGCCGACCACGTTTTCCCGGATGGATAAATTAGCCAAAAAAGGCTGCTGATCGCAGTAGCCAATTCTGGAGCTCTGAAACAGTGTGGTAGCCCCCTCAGAGTAGGGAATCTCGCCGAGAAGCGATTTGCATAGCGTAGACTTCCCGCAGCCTACGGGACCGACGATAACCGTGAGCTTGTTTCGCGGAATAGAAATATTGACGTCTGTCAGAATCCACTTGTCCTTATTCCAGCCAAACCGCCCATTTGTTATCAAGATGCAGCACTGTGAAGCAGACGGTATCGAGCGCAGTGTCTGAAGTGGTGTGCTCTTGCTACCTTGATGTTCTGTCTCTGCTAAGGCGACAGCGTGCTCGACGCCCCTTTCGTCATTGTTGATAATGCGAAAGTCAGTCGATTCGTCCTGTTCCAGAAAATTTTGAATTCGCTCCAAACAGGCCAGGGCGCTGATGAGCTGAGGAATCTTCTGCAACAATACCATCATAGGGGAGGCCAGCAGGGTAAGGTAGGAGAGAGACACAAAAATGGATGTAGTGTTGAGTGATTTAGATGTAACTGCAAGAGTGACCACGGGAGCGAGTAGCATAGGAATCTGTGCAATGCTAGAAGAAAAGACAAGCACCAGGCGCCAGCGACTACCCAATGCTAGCTCTGTGACGCGAAGGTGTTGGATGTAGCCCTGCACAGGCTTGGCCATGCCTGACATCTTGATAAACTTCATTTGTGCAATGGCGTCGGCAGTAGAACTGACTCTAGCTTGAATGGCTTCCATCCAAGCTCGTTGTCGGGGCGTGATCAGTCTACCGGCTAGCGACGCTAGACCAGTTGCTATAATGACAATGACAACGGGCGCTGCAAAAGCGGTACCGAGTTGACCTTGCAGAAGCCAAGATGCGATGCTGACCTGAAGAAGATTGGCCCAAAACTCGTGCAGATTTAGGATGCCAACCCTGGTGCGTTCAATATCTGTGCTCATAATGGTCAAAACGCTAGAACTACCTGACGAGAGTAGGTTCAGCTTGGTGGTTTTTATGTAGACTTCTGTCGCGAGACAGCCTCGGACCTTGATGACGAAGCGTTCTTGCAGATACCAGTAAAGGGCTGTCGAGATAGCAATGGTCAAGTAGGTGAGCAAGGTGGCGCAGACGAGTCCATAACCGTGGTTTCTGTTGTGGGGTTTCTGCTCCAGGTATCTTAGAAGCGCATCGACTAGAAAAGGCTGGCAGAAGCTGGCGGCAAGGTAGACAATGCGAGGAACGATGGGGTACAAGAGCTCCTTCCATAACGTTCTTGACAGGGCAAATATGAGGTCATTGCGGCTCCCCTTGAGTGGATGTCGCTTTAGTGTACGTTGGAAGCGGACAGAGAGGATGTCGGCAGCCATGCCACGGTCCAACGGGTATAAGATTTCAAGCGACAAGAGGCCACGATAGCCGCGCATGAGTAGCTCGTTCAGCCAGGCAAAGACACCAAGGCTGGCTAGACTGCTCGTTGCTTCAGGGCTCATCTTGGTGCGATCCAGCAGCAACCAGCCGTCCTTGTGCCAGGAATCAAGAACGACGAGAATCGCCTTGGTGGCAACAGCCGCGACAAGAACAGCACTGTATGGCATCTCGACGTGGTGTGGCGCCAGTAGCCATGCAGTGCGTGCAGTGGCCGCATCTGGAAGTAGAGTGGCGGTCAAATAGAGGCTTATAATCCAGGACGGTCGAGGCGATCGCGCATGGCTCAGGCAAGACAAGGCAATGAGGCAAAGGGCCGCGACAAAGTCGGCAGCAGCCGCGGCCGCGCTGACGTTTGCGTTGGACAGGGCAGAGTACTCGCCGTTGCTGTTGAGCACCACAATAGCGAGTTTGAGCGCTGCAAATACGCCAGTCACAAACTTTTTTTGCCGATTTGTTAGCGCTGCCACACCTTTTTGACGTTGCTGGGACGAATAAGTGCGTACTAGTTTAAGGCTGAAGATCCACGGCGCTAAAACAATGACGGGTCGACGGAGCAGGGTGGCGGCGGACGCGAAGCTCCCGATGATGAAGACGCAGGCGGGGACAAGCGTAAATACTACCTGCTCAAACAAGGCGGTAAAGTCAAAGTCGTCGCGGCACCCGCTGACAGAGGGGCCGAAAGTGTTGTCATTGTTGCACGCCATATTTCAGGAGACGGAGTCAAATTGCAGTTACATGTGTTTCAGGTCAAATGAAGTTGAAAAGGAAAAGGAAAAGGAAAAGGAGAAGGAGGGTACGTCTTTACCCTTGCAACTCGAGGGCACTTTCAGTTGCGGCGAAAAGGGTCTCCCGAATCTAGCCAAGCAAACGGGTTCGCGATGTCCCGTACGTAACCCCGTGCGGGGTAATCAGAGGTTAGCATCGCACACCGCATGTTGGCTTCTGCAAGGTGAACTTGTTAACAAAGAGAAAACAAAAGTTCCGGCTATGGTATCCGGGGGCAGCGTACGTGGCGTCTGCCTGACTGTCCCCGCGTTGCTGCCCTCGGAAATCATCTACCTACCTAGTCAGCGATCCCATCCTTTTTTTCGCCAACCAACGGGTGCAGCAAACGACAGCGCGATAGTCATGGAGAGCGCACCTTTGCTTGGGCATGCCCCCTCCAGCGAGATAGGTCATGGCCGTGCAACGAGACTTGATCCTTTCAAGCAGCATTTCCACAAGTGGCGCACTTTCTACATCTGCGTCCTGTTCCTCATTGTCACCGACGTGCCGTCCTTCATGGGTGAAGGCCCTATGCTTCGCATGCTTGAGCTCGGCGCCTGTCGCGAGTATTATGCACTTCATGACCCCGACTCGATTGACAGTCATGGCAACGTCCCGGAACGTCTCTGCAAATTATCCGTCATCCAGAGTAGGGTGGCCAGGGTGCGAAGCCTCCTGGCCTTCCTCGAGGCAGTGCCCGGTTTGCTGCTAGCCGTGCCGTACGGCATTGTGGCAGATACGCACGGGCGAGGTCTGGTGGTTGGCTTGTGCCTCGCCGGCTTTCTGATCAGGGACACATGGGTCTTTATCTGCCTCTACTTTTACAAAGTGTTTCCTTTGAACGCCGTGTATTTGGCGCCAATGACTGCTATCCTTGGTGGCGGGTCAACTGTCACCGGCCCTATGCTCTTCGCCATGATAGCTGCGTCAACAGCCAGAGAATCAAGGTCTTTGCAGCATTTTCCCTCCCAAATACATTTTTTTGCTGACTCTAGATCTTAGAGCACATGCCTTTTTCATGATACAGGTATGTCTGCTTGCACTCGAGTCTATATCACCGCCGCTCGGGTCGCTCCTCATGGAAACCGTTGGACCGTATTATGCTTGGCTTGCGGGTATTCCATTGGGTCTTTTGGGCTTTGCCTGCCTATCATTCTTACCGCGTAACAAAATTTCTGCAATCACAGAATGTGAGCCATGCGCGCCAGAAGATGCGGAGCACTCGGCGTCGTCGACGACTATGTATGACCGCTCAAAAGAGAGAGTCACTGCGCTCGCGTATCACTTGAGACATGACATACCCAGGCTATTTCATAGCAAATCCCTCTTTGTTGGTTTGCTGGCAATGTTCACCGCCAAAATGGCTCGGCCTATCAAGGACCTATTGTCACAGTTTATGACGGCAAAGTTCGAGTGGCCAATTAGCCAAGTGAGGCTTTGCCCCAGCCGACTGCGGCCGGACTTACTAATAACATATTAGGCTAACTTGCTCATATCCGTTCACGCCGCAGCTCAATTACCGTGGTTTATTGCTGTTCTTCCGACTGCCAATGCCTGGTTGCTTCGTTGGCAGGGAGACGCCGTCAAAGCAAACCATGTCCTCGCGACTGTGTTGGTGAGCTGCTTGACGCTAGGTGCGATATTCATGGGACTTGCACCAACTTCAGTGACTTTTATTATTGGTAGGTGCTCCTTTTACTGCTCGGATTGGCCCATGAGCAGTGCTGATAACAAAAACAGCCGTGATTGTATACACGGGCGGCAGCGGATTTTCAGTGGCCATGCGCTCGCTTTTAACAGCTTTGGTCACTGACGATCAACTGTCGCTTCTCTTCACAACCATTGCTGTATTCGAAGCTTCGGCCCTTTTAACTGCTGCTCCCTTGTTGCAGTTTCTCTTCGCAGAGGGGTTGCAATATGGCGGACTCATGATAAGTTTGCCATTTTTCACCGTGGCTGTCTTTTATGGCTGCGCAACTATGGCTCTATCGTTATGCACTTTTAAATAGCTCGCTCTGCATGTCTTATGTTGAGGGTACTACCCTGAAGTTGAAGGATGTCGCCGGCGTCTACAATATCTTTGCAATGGTCACTTCTCTGGGCATGTGTATCGAGAACCAGACGGCAGCAAAGTACAATAAAGGGTCCATTTAGGAGCTAGCCAAGCAGCAGCGAAAGTTGTTACTGCTACCCTAAAGCCTCCCCTCCAAACTTGAGCCAACACCAAACGCATGACGGCGTACGCCTGGGGCATACCAACCAATACACTAATGTACATGCAAAGTAAGATAGCAAAGTAAGGTAGTAAAGCAAAAACAATGTCCTAGTGGTGGGGTATAAGGTAGGACTGATCTCGCAGAGACCCGATCGGCAACGTGCAAGAAGGCTTCAAACTTTGACCTTGACAGCAACGCCAGCTTTCATCACTCGCACAACCAGGATGATGAGCCCACCAAGAATCGCAGCCACCCCCCCATAAACCCAAATGGCGGTCCAATCCAGCGGTTGACTGTGTCCGAGAATGGCACCACCAGTAGGCCCGCCGATCAAAAGTCCAAAGCCAGCGATGGCAAAGCCTTGTCCAACACGCGTACCAATCATGGATTTGTTCTCCGTCAACATGCGGAAACAGACGGGAGGTAGCGCCACGACAACGCCGCTGAGAAAACCGGTAAAAATCGCCTCGACAATGATACCTGCCTTGTTCTGCACCGCCAGCATGCAAATGACACATATGCCGAGACACACTGTAACGGGTGCCATCGTATTGAACACGCCGATTCGGTCGGACAGAGCGTTGGGGGCGATTCGACCCAGGACAGACGCGGCGTTGAAGATGGCAACCATGTAAAATGCAAGCGAAGTGTCGGCGAAGCCGCGGTTTTGAGGGTAGAATGAAATGTAAAAAATAAGAACCGCATTTCCAATGAAGACAACGAGCAGTCCCAGAGTAAACACCATGAAGGGCGGATCATGAAATGCTGACCAGTCAATCAAGGCGCGAGGCTTGGGTGCACGAACGCGCATGCGCATGGTCGAGAGCGGGAGAGCAAAGGCGGCGAGGGCGATGAAACCGATGACGCGCACAGCCCACGGAAACCCAACCTCGGGAATGAGACGGTTGAGGGCAATGGGGTAGATGACGCCCCCCAAGGATGAGCCAGACGAAGCGATGCCAATGGCCAGGCCCATTCGCGTGGAAAAATACGTCGGAAGCAGTGACACGGTTGGCGTGAAGAGCAGTCCAGCACCAATGCCGATGCAAAAGGCCTGCGCAAGTACCACCTGCCAGAACTCGGTACAGAGAGAGAGCATCATGAAGCCAAACACGATCAAGAAGCTTCCGGTGACGAGGAGCAGGCGGAGATAACCCCGGTCGTATACAGGCCCGGCGATGAGGCCGGCGAACTGCAAGAGGAAACATTGGATGGATCCGATCCAGGAGATGTTGGAAGACGACTGCTTAAAGAGAACACCAGACTCGTAGTATGTCTGGAACACGGCGAACGTGTTGATCATGCCCCAAGTGTTGAAGAAGAGCATGAATCCCGCCGCGACCTGGAGCCAGGCGACGAGGCCTCCGTTGGGAGGGGGGCTGGGCGCTCCAGCGGAAGAGGGTGTCGCAAGATTCATCCCGGGGCCGGGTTGCTTCTCGTGGCCATGGTCGGCGTTTGCCATGTCGGGCAGCTTCTTGGTGCCATCCTGAGTGAATGTGTTGCTGCTCGAACAGCCCAAAGAAGGTGGCGCGCCTGGGCTCGGCTCGTGTGCCGTATCGTCAATAGCGGTGGCCATATCAAGGACAAAATGTGTGGCTTCGTGAGGCTAAAAGTGTTGGACAGGCGCTCAATATGGGCTTGCTTCTGCTAGCATGGAGGACATGGACATGCATTGGTGAAGCGGCGATGTTTTGTACTCGGGACGAGATCGAAAGATCATGGATGGTTGCGAGGGGGGCCGATACGAGGGTCCAATTTCAAATCAGATTTAGATTCAGAGCTCCTGATTTCCAATCAAATCAGAATGCCAACGTGATTTCTTCTTATGTGGCAGGCGACGAGAAATGCTGAATCGGCATACCGTGAGTCCACCGACGGCGGCGGAAAAGCAGCCGGTACTTGTGTTTTCAGTAGCAGCCCCTAGTAAAGTGATGTACCTTCTGCACGCACCCCGTCTTGTTTGTTTCTTCCGCCGTTGCGGCGGAGCTACTATCATACGCAGCTCTAATACGGCAGCCTATAGGTGAGTTATCGCTAAAACTCAGTTCACACCTAGTATATAGTTAGACTAAAAGGCTTAATTTTTAATAAGTATATATTAGAATAAATTCTTAATTTTATTTTTTTTCTTAAAAAAAGCTAAAAAGGTTAATTTTTAATAAGTATATATTAAAATAAGTTTTTAACTATTTTTTCTTTATTCTTTTTTAAAAAAAGGCTAAAAAGTTTAATATTTAATAAGTATATATAAAAATAAGCCTTAAAATATATCTTTTTTAAGATTTTTTTTAAAAAAAAGGTATTAAAAAGGCTAATCTTTAAAAGATATAAATATATACTAAAATATAATTAAAAGCTTTAATAAATACTTCTCTATATTAATACTATTTAATATATACCTAACTATAAGTATACTTAAGAGTAGATTTAGTATATATAAAGAACTTATAATAAATACTTAGATTTTTTTTTACTTCTTTTTAGGTTATTAGTAACTTCTTTTAAATTATATATTCTTTATTTATTCTTATATTAATATTCTAAAAAATAAATAGAAATATTATTTAATAATAATAAAAGTAGAATTTAGAAAAAGTACTAATATAGAAAGAAAAAGGTAAAAAATATTATTTAGTCTATATAATTCTTTTAAAAGTATAATTATAGCCTTAATAACTTAAGCCTTATATAGTTCTTAGCTAAAGAAGATATTTAAATAGATAGTAAAAGGCTTAGATATACTTTAGAAATAAGTCTTTATAGATAGCCCTAAATTAGAGCTTCTATTGCTCTAACTTATAATCTCTTTAAAGGTATATTAAAGAAAACCTTTCTACTATAAATATTTATCCAAGTTCTTACCTAGTACTAGTAAACTATCCAAGTGTCTTTTCGCTAAATCATCACTTTCTAGTAACTAGGTTGGTCGGTTGGGCGTGAAAAAAGGCGGGCAACACTGCAGGCGCATCAACGCACCAGCACCCACGGAAAGCGGCTTTTGGCCAACCAATGGGAGACACATGGTACTGGCGTACATTTTGCAGTCATTTATGCTATTGTTGCTATCATGGTAGCCGCAGATCTGACCAGGCTGAATGTCCAGCAACGTCTTCCTCACGCTTCGTTCTCCACGGCGCGCGAGAGAAGATCGGTTAGCCACGGCGTGAATGTCTCTTCGACCCAACATCCTAGCGCCGCGATGGATGCCTGCAGCTGATAGATGCCTAATATACTGTCTGTAGTGCCGATACGACAATTACCATCGAGTACGCGCTAATATCATGTTAGTCTGACTGCTCATCGAGGGAACGAGGGAGCTGTAGACAACCGGGTTCAGGAACGGAATAAGAACTTACGATGCGATTACCATCGTCCACTACGTAGAGCACCGACCATACATCGCCGCCGGTAACCTGAATCACCGGCAGCGTTAATATCTTGTCATTCGATCCGGCACGTAATGCCACAGTACGCATGCGCTCGCGCCAAGCCGCGACCCAAATACTCAACTGCATATTCGCACTATCCTTTGTGCCTGAAATAGTTTTCGTCTCGATGAAAATAGGTGCGGGCTGTGCGCGTAACGGCTCGTAACGTGTTTGGTTGATCGACTGTCTCTCCCACGGCTCGCTGGCAAGAAATTCATTAATCAGTGTCTGCAAAGTGTCTGAGGGGCGGAGCACCAGCGCGTAATCGACCATCTTATGGACCGACGTCGCGATGGGGGCGAAGCTGCGGCCCGATGCGCTGCTGCCGGCGGTGCTCGCCTCTGATGACGGCAGAGGAACTCGTTTGCCCGAGGCTAGCAGTGGACGGCAGGCGGGCAGAATTTGCGCCGACATGATGGGCTCGACCTCGAGATGTGATATGTTCTGCGTGGCATGCTGGAGCAGGGGCGTGTGGACGAGGTTGTTCCAGCCGGCTTCGGACCGGTGTCTATTGGCCGAGGCGAGGGACTCGTCGACTAGACGGCAAAGATGCTCATGGTTCTGGAGCGCCGCTGTGTGTTCGGCGGCGGCGGCAGCGGCGCTCGCCGGCTGCGTCTCGTCGCGCCATGCATGTCTCCGGATCTGCGGATCGTTTTGAAAGTCGGGATGCGACCGCAGCACCGCTGGTAGCAACGTCTCCCCGGCTACGATAGCAGACAGTGCCTCCATGAGTTTATAAGCGTCATTAGGTACGGCAGCCGCCAGAGGCCTCGGCTTGATGAACTCGATGGGCACCGCGAGGCTGAGTAGACTCTCCGTTTTCAGGAAGCGCTTGGTTGGCGAGGCGCTTCGGGACTGGGATCGGGATGTTTCGCTTGGATCGCGCGAAAGGCTGGTCTGCTGGCGAGCGCGGTTGGGAATGACGATGCCGACCTCGAGCTTTGGGCAACAGCGCTGATCCGCGATGGGCCAACGGGCGACATCTGTATCAAGCTCGAACGATGCGATTTCGTCGTCGTTTTCAGTCGTTCGTGCGCGCTTCGAAGGACTCGGCGTATCAGGTTGCACATTGGCTATGGCGACGTCGTTGATCCAGGCCTCGACGACGAAGCTGTGCATTACGGTGTCAGGGTTGGAGGTGCGAGGTATTTCTCGGCTGTGAAATGCAGATTGTGTTGTTTACCTCCACCTCCGCCTGTTGGATGGATTTTAATCAGAATTATTTGTAAAATTTAGGTTTGGTTTAAGGTCCAACCAGGCGCCGTTTGCCCTTTTCAGGGATTCCCACCGGCGTTAATTAGTAATAATAATAATAATAATAATCCGCCCAGGAGGGCGCAGCCTGTGGTTGGTTGTCACTACTAAGGTGAATACACCTCACCTAAGGGAACCTCAGCCAGTTGTACTAAGGGTAGTATCCCTCAGGTCGCACTACTATTACTTAATATATAGAGTATATATTAATATAAGTATATTCTTATTATGGTAATACTACCTATATAGTTACTACTTATAGGTATAAATCTATTTAGAAAGGGTCTTATTAGACCTTTATATCCTTTAGATTAAGACTATAAAGAATTCTATAAATATAGTTATAGTTTTTTTTAAGTACTTTAGTTTTTCTTTATTTTATTATTAATAAAGGTATTAAATAGGTTATTTAGCCTAATTAGTATATAAAAATTATTATTATTATTATATTTATAATAATAATTAATATAATATATAAGAATTATAAATTTCTAAAATATAAATTTCTTAAAAAATAAGAATTTAATTCTATTAAGGAATAATATATATAGTCTTAAATTATATTCTGTATTACTTAAATATAGATATTAATATACTAAAAATAATTATATACTCTTAGTATATGCTTAGTATGTAAACCCTGATATAAGTATATAAAATGCGTTTTAGCAATAACTCACCTATAGGCTGCCGTACTCTAAGGACTTTGGCCGAGCGACAGCGCCCGTTTGCAAATCCTAACCCAAGCAAAGAATGGACCGCCGACCTTCGGACATGGCTTCATAGGCGGCGCACACCAGCATTGCTACCTCGTTTCGCATCATGGAGCAAGTCATGGAAGAAGACACTGCAACGCCTGCAACGCCTACAACCCCCAACCCACCAGGCGCTGTCACACGACGGAAGCTTCGCAAGGGCACAAGGTCTTGCTGGGCTTGCAAACACCGCAAGACCAGCTGCGTCTTCGTCTCCCCCCAAGATTCCGCATGCAAGGGCTGCCAACGCCGACGCCTCCCATGCATCAGCCAGGACGTGCCTGAAGAGGAAGCCATCGCGGCCGCCGGCGGAACTCGAGACCTCAACACGCGACTTGCCCGCGTCGAGGATCTTATGAGAATCGTCCTTGCCAACACCCACGATGCCACCATCAACCATGAGGAGCGTGCGCCGAGGCACGGTTTGCGACTGTCCAATCCCAGTCCCCATGCCATCAAGGCCGCGCCAACTTCAGCCAGCACCTCGCCCTCTCACCCCATCCCTCCAGCGACGACAGAGGTTAGCCCAAGCAAATCCCGCGGCTTGACCGCGATTCTTCAGGCTTCGGCTAACATGCTTGTAGCGGCCTCAGCAGGAGACTGCGCCGCTCGAGTCGGCTCTACTGCCACGCGATCGGCATGCTGTGCCGGATCGATCTCGGTCTCCAACCAGAGTCGAAGCCATTGCTCAGCAAAACCTTTTTGCCGCATTTCCATGCACCCAAGATGCTAAGCTTCTACTCCAAGAGGCCGCAGAACCATCATTCTATGCCACTCTCGTTTGCACACAGCCGCACAGCAGATTGACACGCCAATCTCTCGCACAAAAACCGGCCCCAGCACTACAGTTTCCCGCCAGAGATGCCCATCCAGTCATTATCGCCAGGCTCATGCTCACATTCGCCATTACGCTTCAATGTCCCTGTGCGGAAAGATTGCGCGGTCTCTCCGAACCACACCATGGGCTCATTCAACGCCTCACAGCGGCCGCGAGCACGTGGGTGACAACCCCGTCAGAGATGCACGATACCCTTGACAGCTTACTATGCGTCATGCTGGAAGGTGTGATAGAAGCTAGTCGGGGTAGTCTCCGCCGCGCTTGGGCTGTTAATCGACGGGCAATGATGATTGCACAACTGATGGGACTTCACCGCTCTCACACGCCACTTCTAAAACGCATCGACCCTACACTAGATGCAAGTCCAAAGTCCATGTGGTTTCGCATTGTATACATCGACCGCCACCTCGGCATTCTGCTCAATTTGCCCCAGGGGACGACGGAAAATATCATGGCTTCCACGCCCACTCTGTTGGACGAGTCTCCCCTTGGTCGCTTCGAACGACTCCTCACGACTGTGGCGGCCCGCATCATCGACCGCAATCAGGGCTTCACTCCAACAAGCGTATCGCTTACACGTTCCATCGACTCGGAACTTATTCAAGCGTCGGACAGCATGCCGCCAAGCTTTTGGCGTCCTGTGGACTTCGATGGGCTCATCCCTGGCTCATTAGATGCCCTCCTGGAGACACTCCGTGTGGCTGCCCAAGTCTACTATTACGGGCTTCTCATTCAACTGCATCTACCCCATCTACTTCACAAGCAAGCTCGCAACGACAACGAAGAATATTCCAGGATGGCGTGCGTCAGTGCTGCCCGGGAAATTGTCACGCGCTTCACCTCACACCGTAGCTTCAACCTGGTATCATCCTGCTCGCGACCTGTCGACTTTTTAGCTCTGCTGGCATCAATTACCCTTCTACTGGCGCACATTGACGCGCATCATCGCAGTAGGCCAAGGAATATTCTAGCTCACCAGCGCCAAAGTGACCGCAGCCTGCTGGAACAAGCCCTTGAGAGAATGGACCTGCTCAGTAATATCAATAAAGACATGATAGGCGAGAAGAGCGCCTCCGTGATCCGGCAACTTCTTGACATTGAGACAGAAGCCGCCCATGGCATTGACTATATTGCCACCGCAACACCAGGAGATGACGGCCGAGAATCCAACGACACGGATGAACATGGCAACGCTTGCTTTCGCTTGCAGATTCCGTATCTCGGGACTATAAAGATCGCATGCCACAACTCCGTCTCCAAAGACCCCTGGGCTGCGCCTGTTTACCCATCAGCGCTCCCTCGACCGACTATGATGGTATCATCGGATGCGTCACAAAGTTCGTCGGATATTGGTGTTCATACCGGTAGTACAGGGGACATCGAGATGGTGACCCCAGCTCACGATACGCGGCATGGCACTGCAGCTCAGCCTTCGCAGCCAGAAGTACTTGCAGACTTTCCTGGTATCACGGCTGACATTGAGAACTGGACCTTTCAAGGTATCGATATGGCTTTTTTTAATAGCTTGGTTGGGGAAACCTCGGACTTGTATTAGACGGTCATCACTTGCCCAGTAATATCTTGCACAAGGACCCCGCATGCAAAAGCACAGATCGACGATCTGGGCAAGGCAAAGACTGTCGAAGACTTTTCATCACTATGGTAATCAGGGTTGCTCCTTGTCGTATCCCTCCCTGGCTTATTCTGGCGTTTCGTTTTCCTTGTTAAACTGAGCCTGCCAGCCTAGGGCCCTCCTCCATTTAGCCAGCTGCAACAGGGCAATATAGCTCCAAGCATCGCTCGCCTCCTCCTTAGCAATTGCCTACGAGATGTTCATTGTCCGCCAGTCGCCACTCTCATACACTAAGATCCACCTCTTGCTGCCTGTTCTCCTCGGTCAACATTTCTGACTTGACCTCTGAAAACAGCCACGGACGCCTCCGGACTCGAGCGGCCATTACCTCGAGCCGCTGGCGAGATTGCTTATTGCACTTCCTTGGTGTAAGCAACCCTGATAATTAGACCATAACGATGCTCCGGCCCGACAACGGTCCATGCGTCTTCAACAACATCGCACCTTCGCACGCCATGCCCCGTCCAGACAGGCATGATGAGTGGCTGCAACAAGTCTACAAGGTTGTCTCGAGCGACGGCTGCTACAACATTGCGCACGCCGCGGGCATCAACCTGGATGACTTTTACTCGCGGAATTCCGCCGCCAAGAACAACTACACCGGCCTGCAGGCCAATATTTACGTGTGCGTAGGCGTCGATACCGCCACCGCAACGATTGCCCCTACCATCACCACGTCGTCGGGCTGGAGACACGCCACGCCGACACCCACCTAGGATGGCATTGCATCAAGTTCTACCAGGTCAAGTCCAGCGACGACTACTGGATCATTGCCCACGGCGTGAAGATTGATCTAAACGACTTAATGGAATGGAATTCCGCCGTCAAAAACGACTGTTGCGGTCTACAGCGCCAAGGGCGGTGGCGGAGCGAATGAAATAGATTTAAGAAATAAAAATTGTTATATAAGACATTAAATAATAAAAATTACCTGGGAACCTGCCTACTGAGAACACTGAACCATTAAACCCTACCACTTATCGAAAACGCAACAGTAGGATAGTACGCAGGAGGGATGGTATTCACCTGGGCAAGAGCCGGGACTGGGCGTGGTCCGGTCCGTTGCTACGGTTTTTCCGGCCCTCACAAATTCATAGAGGTACTAGAGGTCTGATTAGTGTAAATGTAATGACAATAATCAATGAAAGTATAAATATAAATAATAATATACTTAAAGTACTATACATCTGGCTATACTATATTTAGTAAGGCTTCTAAGATATGTCTAGGCTTAATAATATAGCCCTACCTATTTTCAAAAATACCCCCAGCGTAGGTAGGTGATAACGCTTACCTGAGAACTCCAAGCAATTGTTGCCTTCACCAAATTCTACAGAGCTGACGGCCCTCATCCATCATGGAAAGTAACACGGTCCTATATGAGCCGACTGACGAGGGCATCACAACAATCACCATTAACCGCCCTTCCGTCCGAAACGCCGTCAACCACGCCACATCCCTCCAGCTCGCGGCGGCCTTTGAACGGTTTGAAAGCGACAGCACCCAAAAGGTATGCATCCTGACCGGCGCCGGCACCGACTTCTGCGCCGGCTATGACCTGCACGAGGTCGCGCGCAGCAGCACCGACGGGCCCCTCGCCGCCCGCCCCGTCGACGCGCTCAACGGCGGCGCGCCGGGCCCCATGGGCCCCTCGCGGATGCAGCTCAGCAAGCCCGTCATCGCGGCGGTCAGCGGGCACGCCGTGGCCGGGGGTCTGGAGCTGGCGCTGCTGGCGGACCTGCGCGTGGCCGACGCCACGGCCGTGTTTGGCGTCTTTTGCCGGCGCTTTGGCGTGCCGCTCATTGACGGGGGCACGGTGCGCCTCGCGCGCGTCGTCGGCCACGGCCGCGCCCTCGACATGATCCTCACCGGCCGCGCCGTGGCCGCGCCCGAGGCGCTCGCGTGGGGGCTGGCGAACCGCGTCGTCGACGAGGGCGCGCTCGAGGCCGCGCGCGCGCTCGCCCGCGAACTGCTCGGATTTCCCCAGCTGTGCATGCGCGCGGACCTGGCGTCGGCGCGGTACGCCGCGTACGAGGCCCGCGGGATCCAGGATGCGCTGCGTTTTGAATTTGAGAATGGTGCGCGCGTCGTGGCGCTGGAAAGTGTGCAGGGCGCGCAGAGATTTGACAAGGGCGTCGGCCGGGGAGGCAAGTTTGACAAGGCAAAGTTATGAATTAAGGAATGCGTATAAAGAAATAGTTGGAATATTTGTATTTTCTCTTAGAGCATCTGCCCCTTCTTTACGTGACAAACCACCATCGGCGCAGTCATTTACCAGTGCGGTTCATGGAAGCAAGAGTTGCGAAGCAGAGCTCGCCGTGCCGTTGTCAGAATGAAGATAATTAAAGTCTCAGTCTTTTGTCACATTATATATATCGTTGGTCTAGTATGAAGGTCGGATCGTGAGGCTGCTATGGGAGTGAATACGCGGAAACTAAGGTTTCTTGCCGCGTTTTCCATCGCGTTTAGGTCTTGGTTCGGACGGCCGACACGCCGCTGCCTGACAAGTGCTTGATGACCAAGTTATCGACGCCATTCCGGAGGATACTGGACGAGGCACCTCGCGCGTAGGGCTAGCACTTACACGGCAAGGTGAGACAGAGGCGGCGCATCTCGCCCGTGGCGTTCAACTCGAGCCAGCCACCCTAAGCCCTGACCCTGCGTCCGATGTCGTGCATGAATAGCAACTAATGGATACACTTCATATTGTAACAGCGCCCGTCCTCAGAGTTGGCCACTCGGGTTGTTCGTGAGTAAGACTGGACAGGAAGTCTGATGTGATTCCACCTGTAGAGGGCACTCTTTCGTGCAGCCTGAGACCGACGTCTTCATAGGCAACATTTACAGATCTTGATCTGCGAATTGGGAGTCTCAGATTTCTCTGCCAAGTATCCCGCCTCACCTCGTGGTATATGTATGTGATGTTCGTATCTCACCAAGCTCCAGCACTTGAACGATATTATCATGGCGATCTTTTCGAGGCTCGACAGTGTAAGTTTGACACCGAGCCTCCATTCAGATTCACGTGTATGATGTAATGATGTAATGTGAAATGTGCTTTGATTAAAACTGAGAAAAAAAAGAAATTGGTATTGAGCCGTTTGTGTTCCAGCGGTGTGCGATTCCCCCTCCTAACCGTGCGCCCCAATCCCAGAGGCGCGCCTCATATCCCGTATAAAAAAAGACAAAACCCCCGTGTAGATATTAAAGAGCGTACCAGTGATATGTATAAAAAAAAAAAAGGTCCGGGCTGCTGCTGCCGTCGTAAAGACTGTGTGTGTCAAGGTGTTTTCATGGTACCAGCCAAAATGCCTCGATGCCTCCCAAAAGTGTCAAACCAGAGAAGAAAAGATTTGCTCGACAGTTTTATGTCGCTTGTATTATCGTCATCATCAAAAAAATCGACGCCCGAGTTTTCGTGTCGGTCGTCACGCCAAAACGAGGGTTCAGTACTCCACGTCGGCTAGGTTACCCTCCTCCTCCAACGGCGCATCGACACGGCGCGCGGCGCCGTGAGGCGTGATCCTCTTGGCATCATTGCGTTGCCACCGCACCGCCGAGTCGTCGCCCGACGGGGCCTCAACGATAACGCTGAGGCGCTGCGGGCGCAGCACAGGCGCAGCCGCGACGCGGGCCTTGAGCGTCATCACGTCGGCGCCGTCGTCTTCATCGGAGAGGGAAGTTAGGTCGGTGTCCTCTTCATCGGTATCGTAGTCGAAGCCGAGCGCGAGCAGTCGTTGCCGCTGGTTTAGGTACATGCGCGGAATAAACGGGCCAGGCGTCGACTCGGGTGTCGCCGTCACCGACGACTCGTCCTCGGCTGCGGGTTCTTCTAACCCCCGCCAGCCACCAGAGGCCGCCTCGGGGCCGATGGGCGACTCGCCCAGCCGCGACATGGGCCGAGCGTCTTCCGGAATCAGCATGTCTAGCGGCGGTGGCGTGCGCGTCTCCTGGCGTCTGCTGTGACGCGGCGCCGCTGGTGCCTCGTCATGCTGCGGCTGCTGCAGCTGCGCATTGAGGGGGTCCTGCGCACGCGGCACGGGTGTCGCGTCGTTGTCGTCAAAGAGGCCCGGCAGCGCACGGGTGCCGATGAAAAACTGCGACTCTTTGAACAGCAGCGCCTTGTCCTCGGGCGCGGCGCGGCGCTGACGCTTGGCCACAAAGGCGTCGACGTTGGAGCCGTCGGTGGTGATGGAGGAGCAGTCGTCGTCGTTCTCCTCCTCGGGGCAGTGCTCGTCGAGGTCCAGCAGCGACCGCATATCAACCGACGTGGTCACGGTAGCGCGGCTCGCGGGCCGGGGACACACGCTGGACACGTCGGAGCGCTCTGTCGGTTCTGTCGAGGTAACGGACCACTGCCGTTGCGAGGCGCGGCTCTCGGTCGCGCGCTCGGTCGCGAGGGACCGCTGGTCCGCGTCATCGTCGGCCTCGTCGTCGCCCAGCGTCTGCCGCCAGCGCAGCATGTTTTCGACGGACAGGTTCGGCCGCGGCTGGAGGGTGGCGCGGATGGAAACCGGCCGTGCGAGCAGGGCCGCCGGGGAGCGGCAGCTCTCGCGAGATGCGGGACGCGCTCCACCGTCGTTGCAATTATGCACCTTGTCCAGCAAGGTCCTTTGTGACGGCGCACCCATGTTGTACGCGCTCAAGACGTCGGCGGACTGCCGCGCGCGGCGGACGGAGCCCAGCACGGACACTGGGCGCTCCGTGCTCGACTCGGGCTCGCTGCGGCGGAAGCGAGGAATTGAGGGCGGAAATGCATCATCGCTCTCCTCCGTGTCTGTCTCCTCGCGGCCGGTACTTTGTTGCCGCTGGGGGCGGCCAATGTACGACAGGGTGGCGACACTGGCGCGGCGGCCTGTCCGCGGCGACTGCTCGGTGTAGACGGGGCTGTCAAAGATGGACGTGACCCGGGCCCGCGTTATGGGCATCGATCGAGCCGTGTAGATGCTCGAGGAGGGCGAGCTGGGCCGGTGGGCTGCGTCCTCATACTCGGGCTGCTCGTGGATGACGTCTGCAGGGGCGTATTTGCGCACCTTTGGGGCGCTGGTGTGGCGCCTCTGTGAGACGTGAAGGGAGCGGGTGGCGTAGAAGCGCTGCACGGCTGGACTGCCCAAAAGGAGCCCATTTTGTCCAATATTGCGCTCGGCCACGTCCTCGCCGTATTCGCGCGAACCGGCCGCCTGCAGCCGAGCCTTGAAGTCGGACGGGCCTAGCTGCCCCTGGGCGTCGAGGAGATCCACGTGCCGACCGAGAACGGCAGGAGCGCCGGCTCTCTTGCCGCTTGTTTTCGGTGAGAGTAGTATATGGGACTGTGAAGAGGTTGCTCGTTGCTGGCTAAAGTCGGGAATTGTCCACTGGGTGGGTTGGGGAGTAGCTGTTCGTGAATCGCTTCGTTGGTGGGCGTGTTGTGGATGGTATGTGTGTTGGCTGCCTAGTAGGTCGGCGACGCTTCGGCTACGGATTTTGGTCGCTGTTGACGGAGTGTTGCCTGCGATACAGTTTGTTAGGAGGGTATAAGGAGACGGCTTGGCAGGTCAACATACTGCGCTGGAGGGTGGCTGTAGACGGCGAGCTGGAAAGCGACGTCTTGTCGCTTTGCCGCCTCTGTAGGAAGGCGAGGAAGCCCATACTGTCAGTGCGAAGAGGAGCAACAGAAAGCTCCAAGAGAGAGAGGGCTCGGGATGATTAACGCATGTGTGGGATCTGCAGGCTTATTATATTGGGTTGTGGGAGACGGCAATCGAGCAATGAAAAGGCGACCAGATCAAGAACGGGTCGGGCAGGAGAGAGATACGGGGACAGTTTCCTATATGTAAGTAAATGAGAGCTATGTACTCCGTATTACAAAGTGGAACAAGAAACAAGAGTCATTGGCCATTGGCCGGGGTGGTGAGTCGGCGGCTCGATGCAGCAGACAATACCAGCAGTAATTCGTACCAAGTACACGATCTACAGGCAGGCCTGTCTTGTCGTTTCGTCCCACCACCAACTTTCCGACTGGGTGGGACTTGGCACGGATAGACTTTGACTTGCGCTGGGTGCGCGACCCCGGTTCGATGGGCTGGCTAGTCCATCACAAGGTTAGTGAGGTTATTAGCGAGGACAGGACTCTCTCACAGCTTGTGTAGCAAGAGGCGCCCCTGCATTGTTGGCCAGCATTCTCCGTGCTGATGCTGCATATTCGCTCGGTACACATATGCCGCCAGTTCAGGCTACCTCCAACGCAACGGCGAGGCCCGTCGTCAAGGCTTCCCTTCCCTTCCCGTGGTGGCTGTTTGTCATACGGCATTTCGTATCTACTGCTGACTGCTGCCGTCCTGGCACGGTGCCGATGCGACTAGCCGAATAAGGCCGGCGCACAAAAACCCCTGTTCCTGTCTCTTCCCAGCTAACGTTAGCCTGGAAAGGATGCGGTCGTCCAACGCGTTCTGCCATGCCAGGATGGGGGGACGAGGCTCGTGAACTGCTGGCTGTGGCAGTGGAGCTTGGCAGCGAAGATAGTCTAGGTAGTTACAGAGCCAAGGACCAGATTTTTTTTTTTACGAAGCGGGTCTGCCTGTTGCACACGGACGCGCCCACCGGAGGCTTGTTTTGTCCCTTCTACCAATACCCAGGTAACTATTGACCAGTGTCTTGGACTGAACTGAACTGGAATACTGCCCAAAGCCCCCGATGGCGAGACACAGCCTAGCTACTTGGAGGGGCGTATGAGCGGTGGCCGTCACACCACTTGTGCTGCAGGGGGGAGCTGACTTTGACCTACATAGCGCGCTGCCATCATGACAGGTTTCCCTGCGGCTGCGAATAGCGCCATCTGACACTTTTTGGCGACTGCTAACCCGAGGTGCCAGGTCTTAGCATGACGCTATAAGGCTCACGGACCGCGTCCATCAACACTTGACGTAGCCGCCGCTTGGACAGGAAGTGGCCTCGCAGCCAGAAGCCTCGCGTCCAAGGACAAACAAGTCCATTATTATCCACCAGCCCGTTGTCGATTTTCCGAGTCGGACACTTTACGAATCAGAGACAACAAAGGCAGGCAAGAGTCGGGTCATGCATGTATGTAGATGCATGCATGGCTGCGCTGCAATTTCACCTGGGAATCCGTCCCGTCCCCTCGGCATCTTCCCGCCCGACGGAACGAAGCCAACTGCAACTTTCCGTGGAGATGGGTGGGTTAATAACGTTAAAAACTCAAATCATTCCTCTTCGTGGCTTGCAGTGGCACCGCCGTCCTCCTGGGTTATGGGATCCCGCCCCTGGGTGGCTTTGTGCCTGCTTCTTCAGCAGCCAATCATTCGAGTTGCACACAAAGCCTTTGTCCGCGCCGCGCCGTGTTGCTGCTGAAAAGAATGCTTGGCTTGCGCTGGGATAGAATGTTGGCCGCGGCTTTGCTCCGCAGTGTCACAGACTCACAGACTCCTCACGACCCTCACGACAGTTGCGAACAACTTTGGCCCCGGTCCACCACCACAGGCCAGCTTCGTCGTAGTTTTTGTCATTCATTGCCCCGATGAAATACATGCTGATACACAAAAAAAACATATGCAGCATGCTTGTCAATGGCGGCGTGCACATACCGCTTTATGACCCAGGTCAGTTATTCCCATCTCCTGGGCCGTTTCACCACGTTATGCAGCCAGTCCATCACCAGTCCACCACTCAACCACCTTGCTGCCCCTTCCTTCATGCTCTGCCCCGATGATACTCATGATACCCCAAATAGAAGATTTGCATTGGTTTTGATGTGAGGGAATTTGCCCATATTCGCAACCCACTTTGCTCCCTCTCAGATGCGATGGCCTGGTCTGCCGATCACCCACCTAAAACCCGCAGAATTACGGGCATGTTCCCTGCAGCGCTCTTGGTGGCTGAGCGAGATGTGGTCGTGGCTGAATGTCCCAAATGAAGTCTTCTCTGGTTTTTACCGAGCTGGTGACCCCGTCTAAACGGCTCACATTGGCACAGACGCTGGTGCGCGACTCGTACCATACTGGTGGTATTACTTATAATTCACAAGTGCCGACACGCAGGCCTTTCTCCGGGCGGAGGCCATCCATAGTTCCGAAGCTGCGGATAAACCACAGAGACAATATCGCGGGGAGCCAAGGCACCTCATCCCCGCGGCATGCTTCCGTACTGTACAGTATGTACTCCGTACAGAGTACATGATTTAACTTTTGGCCTGCATTGATAGTGGCTGAGAAGGGAGCGGGCAGAACGGGCGCAACTGCGTAAGCCGGTTGGTCATGTCCAGCTGGTCCGAATTCATGGATGACGGAGGGGCGGGCCGATAACAGGCGTTCAATCACCACCCGATCGCGCTGAAGCTGTCGCTGCCCGGGGTTTTTTCCTTGCTTTTGCTGTGACCGGCTTTCTCGGAGCGCAAGGGGTGAGGGTTCAAGGGCCACGGGAAGTCTGCAAGCCTTTTCTCCGGTGGGCAGAAAGGAAGCGGTCCGCCGCTCCCCCGGAAAAAAAAGGAAAAAATGGCGAAAATAAAAGAAAATAAAACCAAAACAGGCCCTCTTTCGAACCACAGTGATGGGAATCACAAAAAGGCAACCGAGCGTCAGGGTGGCCGAGATCGACCCACGACATGCCCCCCCTGCAAGCGCCACAAAACCAACGACTGGCTGACACTGGGTCACCAGAGTGATGGTCCGGGGCACAGTACGAACCGTCGCCGTGGTTCCTAGTTATCGTAATCCTCGAGGATGCAGGTGTGAAGCGACTTGTCCAGACAGGGAGTGGAAAGCTTTCCGTTGTCGCACAATGGGCAAGGGGTAGGTATGAATTGGTCATTCTGGTCGCCTTCCGATCATCAAACCCAGAGCTGTCTGAACCAGGATCGCGGTTCGTCGTTTTGTGGGAAGCGGGCGCGGGTTGACACGACGCATCAAAAGTACATCATCACTGCATCGAACCACAGGAAAAGAAGAGGGGAAGACGTCTGCAACGCCTCTGCAAGGGCGAATGATGGCGCAACAGGAATCATCCAAGTCGGCTCCGTGCCCCCCCCCCCCCTCCCCGGCAAAGCTTCTTCGTCTCAACTGGGAGCGCGCTCTCGGGGAGCAGAAGATCAAGACGTCACGATCGCTTCTCGCCCTCCCTGGGCCCTGGTCCCATGTCCGCCTTCCGCCCGCAATTGAGAGCGAGGTTTGCAGTACTGTAGCACCCCAATTTCCATCAAAAACGGTGTGGAATCAGCATCCGAGTCGTAATTTCACACACTCGTTCGTCCCGGAGTCAATGTCCTCGATAGGAACCCACGGAGCAACAGGAATGCCATCGGTACGTTGGCAAATTTTCTCTCCTCATTTCGTCTCAAATAAATGATTTTTACGGCAGAGCAAGGCACAGAATAGAGTTTTCTGGGCAAACTGAGACGCGCAGGGATCGTAACGGATCTGCCGATGAACCCTGGGCTGCAGCCTCTGATGCCGCGCAGCCTCTCTGAGAACCTAGCTTCGTTCGAACTTGATGATGCCATGTGAACTGACCAGCCCAACTCATGTCGATGTGGACTTGATACCATGTGCCGACGACCTGGCACCCTTCGACGTCGACAAGGGGCAGGTTGCATCCTAGTGCTTTCGAGGACGGGCAATCGCCGAAAAAATGAATGATGCGGTATTCGTCACCTCGGGAAATATCTTATGTAGTGGACGTACCGCTTGCATGCCGAGTCTTCAACCAGACAGCCAATCCTCACCAATCCTCACTGGCGAATAGCCCACATACATTTCAACGTAAGCATGCACTTGATAGATATATCCCTTTTTTCCGTGTATCCCTTTGCGTTCTTGTATTTCTTGACTCTTTGTAGTCTTCTTCTCTCCCATCTACACTACTATCGTCTAGTTGGGCCTTCTAAGCTGTTCTTGGGCGAAGGGTTAATAGTTCTCAGCCTTCTCTAAATCCCGTATAGTGGCAAGGCTTAGAGACAGCTTGGCAGTTTGTAGCTACAATCCTTCCGCGTCTCCCGCCTGTGTAGATGAGTGAACCCCGCCAAGGCTCAGAAACCTTGAGTCTCCTCGGAGCAGCCGCGGCCTTTTGGCTGCGACCCAAAAAAGTAAAGGGCAGTATAACTCTGTCGCTCGTTGCAGACATTGCGGATTCCAAGATGAGAATTCCAAGATGGGGACCAAACCACTACTCACAAGTACATCATAGCAGTGGTTGGCCGCTTCGTTGGAACCGCCGCAAGTCGGCGGCAGCAGTATCGAAGGTGGTGCAGAGCGTATATCCCGCGCGGTCTGAGAATCACTCTTGAACAACGTTCATCTCCGGCCGACGGCGCAACGCTAGTGACTTTAGATGCTGTATTTGGCAAGGGTTCTGAACTTGTTGAAGTTGGCCGGCGGCGCTGTGAGTCTGAATCTGCGTCGAAATCTGACTGCTCTCGCCTACATTATTTCCAGGCGCGCTTTCCACACTATACGAAACCTGCGAGGTAAATGCCGTCACTAGTAATAGTGGCCTTGCAAGTGGGTGAATTTGTCGAGAATCGAGGCAAGTCATACAAGTTTCAGATCTCTTCGATGAGTTGAGCATGGTTGATGAAGTTGCCACTCATCTCCGGCCTTACATTGGAGGATCTTGCGTGGGCAGGTGCAGCGGCGCCAAAAGAGGCAAAAAAATCACAAGTAGGTGGGAAAATCTTGATGGCACTTTAGCGACTGCAAGGCATTCGGAATGGTGGTGTAGTCAAGACTCGTTTTGGTGTTGCTACGTTCCAAGGACCAACTACCTAACCAGACAGGGGATAAGCCCTCCGTTGTATTCCGCGTAAATAAAGTGATCGATCAGTAATGATCAGCACTTTCCCAAGTAGATCTAGACGCAGGCAGTTCAAGTTGCGCGGCTGCTGACTGGTTAGTCGGGCACATGGCGCTACCATCAGAGACCGCGGCTGCGGCTGGCCATCTTTGGCGCAACTGGTCAACTAGACTAGGCTACACCGTGTCAGGCGCTTCAAATGGCCAAGATTGACCTGTTTCTCCCGCCCAAGGATGGTCAGTTCCTTGTTGCCTGCCCGCGATGCTCGAGGCGTGGCGTTCGCTGGCCGGGGCCTCGAACAACTTTGTTGAGGCTTCTAGAATTATAGTATACATGCAGTGATACAATTTCAAGGCCCTTAAATCGCGCCGACTTTTGTCTGGCTTTTCACTTGGAATTATCTCACAATGCTGACAAGTCTTGTAGCGGCGATTTCGGAACCTGCTGCAACTACAAGCTGCCGGACTGTTGCAAGGCTGAGCGCGAGTCGAGGCCAGTAGAACAAACTAGAACGCATCGTGTTGCAATCTGAGCCGCTACTTCTCCATAAAGACGAGAAAAAGGAATGCCAACATATTCCCTCGTCAGTAAAGATGGGCGTTGCTTCAGCGGGTAGCTTCCGGGTATCTGCCTTACAACAAGTACATATGTGAAAGAGACGGACATTATCGCGTTTCCCCACAGACCAACGGCTAGTTAGTTACCCTTGTCTTATTACATGATGATCTGCTTAGCGTCAGCTTTAGGTCAATTCATCCGAGCCATTATGTATAGCCAGCCCTTTCTGTAATTTAGTTCAGGACAAAAAACTATCCGTAAGTTAGAGTCACTGTCTTATACCCGTACGGAGTAGAGTCATGTCTTGTACGGTAATACCCGTCCACGAGTATTTGCGACCGAAAACAATTAACTCACTACTGCCTTTTCTTTTCGAGCTCATGCTGAATGCGGAGCCCCCTGGGCATCTCATCTCGCTTTTCGCACATTAATTGGCTCCGGAACTTTATTGGAAGCTTCAAATATGGATCCTCCTTCTGAGGTCGGCTGAAAAAAAAGTAGCGGGGGGCGGTGTTGATGATGTGATGTTGCACCCCTGCTCTGGCTCTGATGAATTAAATGAGCCATGTAATCTGTATTGTTGCAATCACCCGTTGTCACTATTCGTAGTCTTCAGCTTGATGTAGATCTCGTTTTCTTTTTTTCGGGGGGGTGTACAGTTGCCCAGATGGTTCTATCGAATAAACTCCTATAAACGAGCCACGCCCTAGTAGATAGTGCGCCGGCTTTTTCTGCACACTGCAATTTTAACTCGATGCAATGAGCCAAGCTATTTCTCTTCGGCTTTGGACTCGGCGCTCTTTTTGGCCTCGCCCTTCTTCCCTTGTTTCCACTTGTCGTACTTTTCCCTTAGGTAGCGGTATGTTCTGCCCCAGCCACCCATCAGGAAACCCTTTATGCTCTGGCTGGTACTCGGCCAGTTGACCGTCTGCTTGATGACCTGGCGGACCAGAGCCTGGAGCTCCTCGGGCTTATCGGCAGCTATTCTCCGATCAAACTCGCCGCCTTGGCGTCGCCCACCCGATGATGGGTCGTCATCGCGAGTGGCCTTCATCATTATGGAGAAGTCCTCGCGCGGGATCGCAAACTTCTTCTGGTACTGAAAGTACAGGCGTTCGCGGAAACTCGAAGGGAGACGTCGAACCATGTTGCCACGTTTAATTGGGTCCATGTCCTGCTGAAGTTTGTTGTCACCACTCTCGTCGAGTACCCAGTCTTCATCGTCTAGTCGGCATGGCCCCGTGAAAGCGACATTGGGTAGCGTTTTGACAAGTGGAGCATATAGCCGGCGGAAGTGCACAACATTGTTGTTAACAATGTTGTCAACTTTGCTCTTATTCTCGGTAGGGAGGGCCATGCGAGGATCTCCGAGGTAACTTAGACCTGCTATGGTGCTGTAGAGTTCAGACTCTGTAAAGTCAGGCGGTAGAAGCAACATCGCTGTGCGCAGCGCAGCGATTAAATTGTGCTGATTAGCAAGGCGAACTTGTGGGTGATCGCGAAGAATCTTGACAGGCTTTTGTAGGCGACCTGCCAAATAGAGATTGTCCCATGTAGAAAGGTCGCGAACCAAATTATCAATGCTCGTGACGCCGTATTTGATGAGCATGCCGTTCATCTCAATAAAGGGGTTGAAGTAGACGCCAGCGCCCCAGTCCTGCACATAAGAGACTGCGCCTGACCCCAGCGAGGCAACTCCAGAGTAGTGCTTGCGATGTTGCTTGATGTTGAGCGAATGCCAGTGCTGGGTATGGGAGACGCCAAAGATAAAGTCAATCATTTTGGGCGATCCTTTCTGGGCTTTGACGAGCGCCGTCGGTGGCTTGGGGTGGACAGCGCGAAACTCGGCATCGCTGATACTGCGACCAAGGTCACCTTGCGGAAATACGCCCGAGCCATACGCGAAGCAGTAGACGATGGGCGCGTTGAATTGCCGCAGCATCACACGGAGAGCTTCTTTCAGCTCGTAGTTGATGATCATGTGTTGATTGACACCAAACAGGCGATGCGGCAAGTCCTCAAACGACTGGATCGCAAAATCCACAGATTCTTCCCAATCATCGCCGTATAGGTTGTATTTGCCTTTAGCCGACTCTTTTTCGCGCTTCTTCAGTAGCGGCGCAGCCGTCTCGGCACTCGCAATGCTCGCGTCGTCGGGCTTCTCGGTAGAGGTGGTTCGAGGTTCTGTATTTTGTAGATGTAGCGATATTGAAAAGCTCCGACCAATCTGGTGGCCATGTTGGCAACGCGAAATCCGGTTGCCGTTTCTTACTATCCCAGCAGCACGGGCCGAAACAGGGCGGCACAGGCGGATGCTGCTTGTTGAGACGGCCTGTCGAGCGCGTCAGTAAAGTTCAATTGGCCAGCCACGGCATAAGCATTGGCAGTCATACCCGAAGCCCCGAGTACGCAGAAGTCATTGTGACGGAGTCGCGTCGTCGGCCGTTGAGGATTGTGGATGCAAAGCCGGGAATCTACCCGTCGAGAGTCGCAAGGGACAGCGCCATCAGCCGAGGCTGGAGGGACAGAAGAGAAAGCTGTTATAGTCTGAGATAGCAGTTTTCCGGTGGCAATTGCGGTACTTTGGATGTCAGAAGCAGCTGTGAATGCTGCACGGCGCACAGTTGGAGATGAGGCTTAAGGTAACAAACAGCGAGGTTGAAGCTTAGCAGTAAGCTCCAACCGTTGCGGGTCGCGATGTCAGTTCCAACCGAGTACCGCACGTGACGACAGTGAGTGATCAACCATCAACATGAGTCTATTGTAGTACGCAAAAATCGATTCAAGGTTAAAAAATGCTTCATCCTTTTCCGGCAAAAGTTGAGACAGTATTTCCGCTCGCAAAGAGTCTGTCAACTTGAGTCTACGATGGGCTGGCAAGTATAGACAGGGGCTTTCGTCCAAGTCAGCCTCCCATTATGATGCAGCAATCTACCTACCTATGTAACTAGGTAGGTAGTCTCACTACCCGAGAACTGTTCGGGTTAAAGAGTTTCTACGTTTCATCCAACTCACTTGGCAAGATAGAAGGAACTACTTTTCCTCGTAAGACCACATCTCAAATTACAGATTACATCAGATGACCATTTGGTATATTACGTGATAGCTGATGGTATTCTGGTCGAGCATGATGTCGCGTCTTTTCTACCTGTATCGTTCCTAACTTCATCTAGGCCCATCCGTCGCAATCACAACCCATCTCAGCCCGGTACGCGTCCGGACTCACTCTGTGCAGGTGGCCAAGCGCCATCGCCGCCACTTTACTCTTGGCATCAATCGTGCTGGCAGCCTTGGCATGCCAGTGCACCTTGCTGTGGATGACGAGGGCGCAGACGTAGTCGCTCGCCGTGATGGCCAGCAGCCCGGTGCGCGACTCGCACGGTACCTCGGCCATGCAGAAGCGCCAGCGGCGGCATCCGTACCCCTGCAGCGCGTGGGCCGCTTGCGTGACGACGTGGCCCGCGCCGAGCGCGTCGTAACCGTCCATGTCGTCGATGTGCGGGCGGACAAACGCCTCAAAGAAGCGCTGGACGACGGCATAGTCGTACCGCGCGTCGACAAACATGGCACCAATCAGCGCCTCAACCACGTCCGCAAGCACCTTGGGCGGCCGCGTCGCCAGCGTCCAGTAGCCCTTGCTGACCGGGCGCCCTTGCTGGGCGGCGGCCGTCTCGGCCGCGTCCTTGAGGTACGCGAGGCGCTCCTCAAACGATCGGATCTGGCCGGGGACGGCCGCATCCGCAGCCAGCACCTCGCGCTGCAGACCGAGGCTGACGCAGAGGTATCCGAGAAACTGGTTGCTGCAGACCCCCATCTTGTGCTCGGTGAGCCACTGCGGCCCGGCGTCTGGGTGCGCGCGGAACAGGTGGTCCACGATAGCCATGTCGAGCAGCGCGTCGCCCAGGAACTCGAGCGTCTGGTAGTCGGGAATCTCCTCGGCCTTGTACGACGGGTGCGTAAATGCGCTGCGCAGCAGCAGCGGCGACCGAAAACGGTACCCGATCAGCCCGGCCACTCGGTCCACCGCGGCACGCACGCTGGCGCTGCCGGAGCTCGCGTGCCAGGCCGGCACGGAGAAGCCAGCGTAATAGTCGGCGAAGCACTGCATTGTGTGGTTCGGGTCGGCAACCATCTTCGTCACCGCCTTGACCGCCTCGTCCATGTTGCCGTCGGGAACGCCACTCATGTAAGCGGCGCCGATGATGGCCTCGCAGACGTCGGCAATCGTCTTGTCTCCGAGGTTCTGTATAGCACTTGCCTTTGTCGGCTTGCCGTGCACCAGGCGCAGGCTGGGGTACCAGGTACGTCTGTTAAAGGACTCGGAGCGGATATAAGTATGCAGGCCCAGATCCAAGGCCGTTTTGAGCAGGTTTTTGTTGCAGAGCATAAGCATTCGGTCTACGTGATGCTCAAATTCGGTAGCGTTAGTTTTGTGCGTATACATTGCAATTGTTGTCCCCATTTTCAGAAAGGTATCGCCCAGAAACTCCAGTCGCTCATAATTTCGTTGGCCGCCGTGCTCCTCATCGGCCTTGACGTCCTCCTCGTCATCGGCATCAACCCCGTTCTTTGTAAAGGCCTGCAGAAGCAATGGGAGGGGAATGTTGAGTCCCAACATTTGGAGGGCTTCACCTACCACTAAAGTGCAGTCTACAAAGTAGAGGATAGATGGAAGCAGCAGGGCAGCACGAGCAACATCGGCCGGGATTGGAGATATCTTCAGACATTGGAGAGTGAGGTAGCATGGTTGGTCTTCTTTGGCGGCTTCTACATCGTCGCTTCTTAGAAAGTTGCGCCGCAAGGACAAAAGCAAGGCCCTGTATACGGGTTGTTCAGTATCAAATACAATTTTTTGTCGGTGCGGCTGTTTGGTGCTGCAGCTGTACTGCATGATGGATTTGTCTGAGAGCTGGTAGCCGGGGTTCTTGTGGTCTGGGATCCCGGCAGGTGCCGGGTCGGTTGCTCGCAGTGTAGGGACAATCTCGTATATGAAAAATTTTCTTGATCCGTCGTGGGGATCAACGACAAATTGCTGCCGCATCATGTCTTGGGGTTTGACCTCAGGGTCCCGCTTCTTAGACAAGACTGTGTGCTCTACTCTCCGCCAGTCAACAGCGCATTTCTCTGGTCCATGTAATGACACAGAAGCAGGAGCGAGGTAAAAGGGAATTTCTTCAGCCCTCGCATCAAATTGTTTACTGAATACCTGGCCAAATAGGCAAAGTGTAAACGCCGCCAGCTGCTGTACTTGCTCCGCTGAGACTTCCACAACTCCGCCAGGTACCAAAGTAGCTGACATGGTGAGATCTATGGTCACGAAAAGCCGTATCGGCTCTATATCCGGTAATTTCTCTCTTGTCAACAACGTCATGGTCGTGATACCAGCAGAGTCTGGATGGACTTGGATAAAGGTCTGGAAAAGCTGTGTCGGTATCTCAGCCGGCAGTGATGTCCAAACTTTTGGTTTAATCACCATGTCGTACTGTTTTTGCTTTTTGTCCCTCAGCGCCAATCGTGCATTTCGCATCTTGGGAAGCTTCTTTCTGAAAGTCGGCTGCAGGTTTTTGTTGATGCTGCCCAGATCGATGAGCCGCGTGCATGCCTCGTACGCCGCCGCACACCGGGCCTTGATCTTGCTCCGCTCCATGCTTCCCGACGTGGACTTGAAAGGTGCCGAGTCGGGAAGAATCACCCAGCAGGTAAAGTTGGTGCCCACCCCGGACACGACGTATTCTGGCGCCGGGCTCTTCTCCGTCCCCTGGCCCAGTGTGGACACGAACCGCGCGAGTACCACCATGCTGTTTTGGTTGGACAGTGTGGACGTTTCTGCCACGAAAAGTTCCCTTTCCGGTGGGCGCTCGTATTTTTCAATCTTTCTATCGGCCGGCAAGCTTTGACAGAAACGGCGGAGGGAGAGCGCGTCGATATTGACATTTTGAAAGCGACTCATGTGTTGGTTGTTGTCCTGTTCCATCATCGTGATGAAAACAGACGAGGCTTTTCTCGCGCGGCCGCGCGACTGGATGTACTGAATGGCCGAGACGCACATGTCGAACCGGATCACCAGGTCGCAGGCAGGAATGTCGAGGCCTTCCTCAGCAACAGACGTCGCAAAGAGACAATTCGTGTCGCCGAACTTGAAGTTGTTGAGCTTCATAATTTGCTGTCGCTGGGAGACGTTGGAGAAGGCAGACGCTCTTGACAAACCAATCTACACACGTTAGCTGGAAGACTGGAGGCGGAGGAGGGAGGTTCATCATCACACCATAAAGTCTGCAACCATACCGCTGGGAGCAGTCCCAGGTTGCTGAAAGTAGTCTGCCAGGACTAAAGCCACGTACTGCTCATCGACGAAAACGAGGCATTTTGTCGCCCGGTTCTTCTCAAAGGCAACGCACAACGTTTCTCGAAGTACAGTAAGCTTTGATGAGGTGGCGCCTTCGTCCGTTGGGAGCGTGGTGAGCTGGTGGTGGTTCACGAGCGGCCCTAGGCTCTCAAATGCGGCGGAAACCGCGTCGTACCGATCGTAGCTAAAATAAACCCTGTTGCTCCTCGCCGACTGCAGCGTCATGGTCCTCATCGTATTGTCCGTCATGAGGAGCTGCCAGAAACGGTGGGCGCACCAGGGGCCGAGAACCGACCCCATCTTGGCGGCGCAGTGCACGGCGCTGCTGAGCTGCGGGATATGGCGGGCGTAGTCTGCCACCATTGCCGTCAACTCCGTGTACGCGTTTTGGATAGGCTGGGGCGGCTGGTAGAAGCACACCTTTTCCTGTTGCTCGCGCTTGACCCAGCCTGCCTCCAGGACCTCGTCCGAGACGGTCGCAATCTCGCTGCACAGGAGGCTCTCCAGCTGCTGCACGGAAGCGTCCATGTCGAGAGTTCCTGTGTCGATGGGAGAGGCGGTCAGGCCGAGGATGCGCGGCTTGGCGTCGTCGTTGCGCGGGTAGTAACGCTTCATAATGGCCGCGTACGGATGCTCCTTTTTCGCGTGGTGGACCTCGTCGAAGATGAGGAGGTTGATTTGCTTCATGTTGATGAAGCCGTGGCTTAGGCAGTCTAGGAGCATCTGTGCGGTGCAGACGACGATCATGTTCTTGTCAAACAGTTCGTCCCAGTGGCTCTGGACCTGCTCGATGGGCTGCAGGTCGCCGTAGCACTTGGTGATTGGAAATGGCAAGTTCGATTTGACCACTTGATATTGTTGCACGCACAAGGCGACTTTGTCGACAATGAAAAAAGCCGTCTTTCGATGGCAGCCGTTGGATCTGTCTTCCAGCTCCTGTTCGAGAACGTGACGAAGGAGCATGATGGCGATCAGAGTCTTGCCCGACCCTGGCACATATCAGCAAGATTTCGGTCGTTCTGGAAATTACCACACATACCAGTGTCCAGAACCACGATTGTATTTTTCTTCTTTGCCCTTTCAAATAGTTCGTTCTGGTACTCCCGGGGGGTGATCATGAGGGCAGAAATTTCGGCCGCAGTTTCACTGATTCCCTCCGACGGCGCAGTCGCAGAGAGGTCGGCTCCATCATCGTCAAGTCTCGCATGATCCGCAAGCCAGGCTGTGAAAACGGTATTGTCTTTGAATTTTGCTTTTAAAGGCGGACAGTTCGAGCCTGTACCTAGTGAAATCATCGCGAGGCAGCCTGGGGTTTGGGCAAAAGCCAAGGGTAAACGTGCGGAGGATTAAAATCTGACAAGGGGAGTGTATGTGCGAGCAAACGAATGTTTTCTTCTCCCAAGGGAGCTCGAGTCGCATTGCTGTGTCTCCTGTTGTTGTCGGGTGGTGCATCTATCATCGCGTGACGCCGCGTTTGACGGAACCGGCTGGCTGCAGCAGGGTTACCCGACACAGAGTGCCTCGAACTGTGGCGTTTGCTATGAAACAACATAAAGTGATAGGTACAATTCCACAACATTACAAGTACCGACTGCAATTTGTCCGGCGCAGAAAACGGACCGCTTGGCATAGGAACGGTCATGCGTGACGATTCAGAATGTAGTACAGCGGTACTAGGCAAGAACTAATGATACCGTGGAGTTTCATGGGGGGGTATAGTATGGTTGTATTACACCGAATGGGCTCTGACGGTCCAGGTAAAAAACTATACCCTGCCTATAATAGCTGACCTGTTATGTCCTATATTCTTGACGCCTTCTAAGAGGTACTAATAACGCCGCTGTTGGTGGAAGCTATCTCGTCCTAGCCAAACGCCGCTGTACGTGGCTGATAACCAAAGAACTCGGCTTTATAGCCGGGGCTATATTCGACGGCACCCCCACTAATATGTAGTAAAATTAGATGAACAAGGTTACGCCACTCGGCCGAGTACTGATGGGCATGATCGTCACGTCGTGCTAACTGATAAAACACGTAGTCATCTTAGGTACTCTTTATATACTTGCACCATACCTTTCCTACGCATACCCCTCTTAACGTCACCTCTAGCAACTCCTTCCAGCAAGTTTAGCGCCCACCTGCGCTCTCCCAGTGATTATAACACCTTTTAGTGCTCCTTCTAGCGCCCTCACCAGGGCTCTTGCCAGGGTATTTACCAGCGCGCCTTTTGGGGCTGCTTAAGCGATCGTGTTTTACACAATTTGATAGACTGGGGATACACTTAGTAAAAAGGTGCTGGGAGATGATTTACCATTTCGGCACGATGTGACGATTATGCTCTCGTAAGTACTGCCGCCAAGTGCGACGCACAGTCAGAGAGCACAGCTATGGTCAAGTAAATTGCTTAGAAAATGTTGTTGTATTGAACCAAAAGCAAAAAAAGCAATAAAAAATGAGCCCAGATCTATGACTGCCAACGTACTCCCAGGTATTGCCCGATCAAAAATTCCTGCATCTCCGGACCATCGCGAAAACACAAAAGCAAAGCACCAAATCTCCTATCCAATTTCGATGAGCACCCCGGCTGCCATGGCGTGCACGGCAAACACGGCATCACCCGCCATCTCCGCAAACACCACTTGCCTGCTACGTTTCGGCCGACACGCGCGCCACCGCCACCCGCAGCCCGCGTGGAAATCTTCCCACAGCTGGTTGTACGCCTAAATGAATTAGATAAAAAAGATCAGAAAAATGAAATAGAATTACAAAGATGACAAGAATATGGAAGACGAGCCTACCTAGCCGGCGATGTATCTTGTCTCCCTGGTGCCGTGCACCTAGTAACAGGGTTCTGTATGCAAAGCAATACTCATTTTGAACTCTACAGGGCTCAAAAACATGATGCTTATACCCCGTTCAACTGTACGCGTCCTCGACGTTGCCGTATCGTACACTCGGCAAGCCGACGGGCCGTGGCTGCCTCGCGAGCGAGGCGAGCGCGCTTCATCGAGGCGGCAAACCGGGCCTCGTTGGCAAAGGGTGCGCTGGAGCCAACGGCTGTCCTGTTGCTACCTGGAGCGGGTATGGTATTCTTCTCGGGGCGACGCGGCGCTGCGATGCGTGGCTTGGCGGGCTTGCTGAACCAGACTTGGGTGTTTCTCGGCTTGCGCTGCTTCCTGGCCGGCGGCGTGATTTTCGCGCGCTTCTTCTTCGGAGAGTCTGGCGTCCAGTCGGAGTCGTCTTCCACCGGCTGGATAAGCTCCGGGCTCTGCGCTTTTCGCTTGTGCGGATACTCTTTCGGTTCCTCGGCAAAAGGCCCCCCCGGAGGACCGCTCGTCTCGTCCATATCCAAGATCTCGTCGTCCAGCACAGACGAGGGCGGCCCGCACTCGACATGCGTGGCGGTAAACGAGCCCGGCACCGTCTCTGGGTAGCACCCGTCTGGAAAGCCCATGCCAAAGTGGCCGAGAGCTGCCACTTCCTCTTCAAAGCCCACGGCGCGGCTGTCGAGGAACGCGCGCCGCCAGCAGCAATCGGCCGACGCTTGCGGATGCTGGGCGCACTGCGGCGGCGGCTCGTCCCAGGCCGCTCTGGATTCGACGTCGGCGACGAGCTCTGCCCCTGCTGGCGACGGGTCGGGAAGGAACCAGGCATCGTCGGTCAGGAATGCCGTCCAGTCAATCATGCCCTGGTCCATGGTGACGCCAATGGAGAACGGTGGAGAGTCCAGGGATTGAAAGAGGACGGCATGAAAATTGGAAGAATTGGAAGAAGCTGTTGGAAAGCTGCGGTGGTTTTGTTGTTGGACATGCAGAGGCAACGGAGCGCCAGCTGGCAGCAAACGAAGCTGCTGCCACCAGCTGGACTCTTTGGAGCTACTTGAGACGGTGGCTTGTAAGATGAAAAGTGCATTGCGCGTAGTATTATAAAATATACCCATGTAACAGCTGATCCCAGTGTGGTTAACAAAGTTCGAGTCTGACTGGTCTTGACCGGCGATAAAAATATGATGAACCGAAAACGCCGTGCCACGCCACGCTCAAAGCAAAACAGAGAAGCAGTACTAGATAAAAAGTCGCCGTTCTAGTCCATATCCATGAAAGGGCCAAAAGCCTCTCTTCCAGTAAAGCGATCCATGTCATCGCACAAGCTGTCGTCCGTGCTCAAGTCGGAGCTCATCATGTCATGCACGTCACGTTTGGACTTTGGTAGTCGGGCCGTGTTCTGCGTGGCCGCCCGGTCCCTGGAGACAACAGCCGTGGCTTTGAGGATATCCTCCCAAGTCTGTAGGATGCGCTTGATGTCCTCATCAAATGTGCAGCAGAAGCGCTGCAAGCTCACAAAACCCACCACCTTGCTCGTGGACAGCCCAAACATGGCCATGACGTAGCCTGCCACGAGGAGCGCAGAGAGGTCGTTTCCCGTGGCGCAGGTGACCAAAATTCTGCCGATACGCGGTGTGACGTCGGTCTGACACGCCGTCTCGTCGCTCAACTCGATCATGTGTGTATTTATTGTATGGATGATCGCGGGGAGCTGGTGGAGGAGGTCAAAGTCGTTGCGAACGGCGACCTCAAACTTTGTGAGCCCAGGCAAGGCCCTACAGGCATCATCAACAGCGCGTGTTGGGGGCATCCGCGCGTCACGGACGTGGACAATCATGGAAATCTGCTCGCGCGCGAGGTAGGCGCGGTCACGGACGACGCTGACAGGGCCGAGGCTCATGTAGTCGAGGATGGAGTGGAAGTAACGACGCTGCTCGTATACCCAGGGGCTCGCGCGGTTAACGGAGCATTGCTTTCGCCCGCGCGTCACGGCAGCCAACTGGGCACGGGTGAGTTGGATGGCGTCGAGGTAGTCCTCGGTCGGCTTAAGGGTGTAGGAGACGGGGCAGCTAGACTCGTCGCCCCGGACCATCTGAGTCGGAATAGAGGGTGGGCTCGGCGGGCGGCGCGAGTAAGCCGCCGTCGGCGTAACAGCCCGGTGCCATGTAGAGGGACCGGCGAGGCCTGTGGTGTGCATGGATTATGATGGTAGTGGTGCGAAGGCGACCAAGACGAAGATGATTTGGGGGTGGGTTGGAAGACTGCGTGATGCGAAACCGGAACGGTGTCTGTCAAGGGCCGTATACGCGATGCTGTCGGGGAAGAATGAAAGCCAAGATAATGACAGGCAGCAGCAGAGCGCATGGCCCAGGTAGAGATAGAAAATGGAAGAATGTTGGGTGGAGGGTTGAGCTACGAAGAGAAGCTGGAAGCTTTGTGGTTTGAGAGGCGCTGCCAGTGCGCGGGAACGAGTGGCCGTGGCTTGCCCCGCGCCAGGCAGCAGGACCCCACTACGCCGCTGGAGGTGTACCGACAACGCCTTGCTGCCATGGTTAACATGGCCAATTATGAAATATATTCATTTATTTTACTGTGAATGCGTGGTAAATCTCTGTAAATTTTTGCGTTCGCTGGATTTCTGACAGTAGAGTAGCTCTACAATGACAGGTAGAACAGGCGGTGCAGTGCAGCCCGGTAATGACGAAGAGCGCAGATAAGAATTTCACCTAAAAAACACCAACTTGCTATTTTTTTATTTTTTAAAAATACACTAATTGGACTACGTGGTCCTTCTAGTACCTCTTTAGTCGATAATTATTTAATTATTACCTAAGGTTGTAATTCGGCCCTTTTGCGACTTCATCAATAACTGCAGACTTTGCTTTTGATGCCTCGTACATGCGACGCCTTCCATCGTACAGCCCCAGCTGTCCACGAGTCGACGAACCCATCATCGCTGAGAAAAAGAAAACAAACAAATCTGAAGCGCAAACGCCTCTAAATACAGTCGTGATTACCTGCCTGCCCATGCTGACGTGCAGGCACTCAGCCGGCCTGCGTTGCCAGAACAGGCAATCGCAACCAACCCCGTTGACCCTGGCGAGCTTGGCCAAGCATCATGGCATGACCCCTCACTCTCCAACTCCCCATAAACTATTTCTCTGTTACCCATCCTCGCAGAAACTACATTCCATACGCCCATCAATAACCGCATACATTGTGCTCCTTTTTGTAGTCCGTCACACAAACTCGGCTAAAACCACCCCATACGAACCCCATCCAACATGACAACGGTCCTTGACGATGCCTGGTGGCATCGAGACTTTGATTTCCCCCTCGACCTCCCTCGCGAAGCCGGCGGCACTCATGTTGGAATCTTCTTTGCCTGGGCCCTCTTAAACGATCTTGTATCTGAATAGCACGAAGACATGCATACCGAGGCGCTCAACAAGGTGCGCGCACGCTCCTCGACCGGCCGCGACTACCTGTACACCGTCTGTAGCGCGCGAATCGAAACCGACGACTTTACCGAAGAGGCGCAGCATTTTGTTAGATGGTACTACACCCCTGTCGACGATATAGAAGCCATGAGAGACAACTTCTATATCCGAGACTACCAGCACACCCTGGCCTACGGCTTGCCTTCAATCTACCACGTCTGCGACGACTGGGTCAACTACGACCTGATGGAGCCCGTTCTCGACGCCGCCTTTGCGTCCTGGAGGAATTCTATATGGAAAGTCAACGGGCACAGACACTGACTGGGAGTGATACAAAAAAGGACGAGGAAAGAGTACAGATGGTTGGATTCCTGGGACGCCACTCACCGAATGACGTCAAGATACCATAAACTAACCCCCACTGACCGGCAAGCGCATACAATAAAATGGCAGTTGTATCACAAGCGTTAGTTATTCAATAAAGAATGGAACAGTCTGTATACAAAAAATAAATGGCTTCTGTGTCTAATATTTGTTACATGTTGTGTTGTACATGCTGCTCGTCCGCAGCGCAGCCGCTCGATGCTCTATACCAAAATGTGTGCCAATTCCACTATATAGCATACAAAAACTCGCTGTTTATTTATGCCGTCACCTCGCCCCGCTGCTTGACATCGTCAGACGACGAAATCCCCAACACGGCGCTATCGTTGCCCGCATCAATATCCGCTTCGGCCGCAACCCTGTCCCGCAGCCGGGCCGCCTTGGCCTGCCGCCTCTTCCGCTGCCGCAGCGAGAGCAGCTGCTCGTCGGTAAAGTTGAGCTTCTCGAGCGAGTCAATGAGCTTCTCCTCGACGAGCGTGCGGGCGTGGAACGCGAGCTCGATGCTGCGAAACAGGCCGGTGAAGCGGTACGACAGCCAGATGTAGCCGTTGAGCGCCATGTGCAGCGACTCGAGTTTGTACAGGTAGTCGGTGGCCTCCTTGCCGGACAGCTCGGTGAGGCGCAGGTCGAGCACCTCGAGCGGGATCTCCCGGATGGACAGCAGGTCGCCCGACTCGTTGTGGGCGACGACGCGCGCCATGGCCTTGAGCGCGGCCACGGAGCCCTCGCTGGACAGGGAGATGGGCATGTGGCAGATGCTCAGCCGGTCGTAGATGGACAGCGGCAGGTCCTGGATGATGTCGGCGATTTCGAGCGCGGAGCTGCTGATGTTGAGCCGAAAGTGCGGGCTGACGGTCGCGGCCGCCTTGATCCGCATTAGGAGAAACGAGAGCGGCGTGTCGGGCGGGAAGTAGGACGCGAACCGCTCGACGACGCTCGGCGGCGGCTGAATGTACGCGTGCTTGATGTCCTCGACGTCTTGCTGAAACGCCTTGGTGAGGGCGCGCACGTCCTGCCGGTCCATGGCGGTGACGTAGCCGACTTTTTGCTCGGCATTGTCCGCTGGCGTGGCGTCGTCCTGCGCCTGCTGGGCGGAGCGGTACCGGCCGGCGCGGCCGCCAATCTGCTTGAACTCGGGGACGCTGAGCATGCGGTGCTGGAAGCCGTCAAACTTGTACACCGACTCAAAGATGACGCGCTTGATCTCGAGGTTGAGGCCCATGCCGATGGCGTCGCTGGCGACGACAAAGTCGTAGTCGTTGTCCGGATCGTTGAAGAGCGCGGCCTGCTGCACGCGCACCTCGGGCGGCAGCGTGCCGTAGATGATGGCGCACCGCCGGCCCGTCTCCTGCTCGACCTGCCGCTTGAGGGCGTGCAGCGAGACGCGGCTAAAGGCGACAATGGCGTCGCCCTTTTCGAGCTGGTGGTACCTGCCCTCGAGTGCCGTCGACATGGTCTTGAGCGGGCTGAGGCGCTCGTAGCGGTGCACGACGCACTTGTCGCCAATCGTCGCGCACAGGCTCTCAATCAGCGCCACGGTGCGCTCCTCGCCGCAGACGTGCACGTCCTTGGCCTGGACACCAAGAAAGGCCGTAGTCCAGGCGCTGCCGCGATCGGCGTTGCCAATCATCTGGATCTCGTCAATGACGGCCACGTCGAACCTCTTGTTGAGCGGCATCATTTCGACGGTGCAGCTGGAAAAGTACCGGTCCGTGTCCTCGGGGATGCGCACCTCCTCGCCGGTGATGAGCGCGCACGGCAGGTTCTTGGCGCGCAGCCGGTGGTAGACTTCGGCGGCGAGCAGGCGCAGCGGCCCCGCGTAGACGCCGCACGTGCTGGCCTCGAGCGCCTTGAGGGCCGTGTACGTCTTGCCCGAGTTGGTCGGGCCGACGTGGACGTGAATGGTGCGCTGCATGGCGCGCGTGGCCGGGAACCACTCGTGCGGGTAGCGCAGGTTGAGCAGGTCGGCCTGGCTCGCCTCGACGCCGCGCGAGAAGCGCTGCTGCGTGACAAACGACTGGAAGCAGTACTGAATCTCCTTTTGCAGGCCCTTGACGTCTTTCTGGATGAAGGCGTCGCGCAGGTTCCAGAAGAGCGGGTTCTTGTCGCGCCGGGTAATGTTGCGCTCGGCAAGGGAAAAGGCTTCGTCAATGGCGTTCATAAAGGCGGCGCCCTGCCGTTGCAGCTCGTCCTCGCTGATGCCGCCCTGCGCGAACTGCGCCGAGTCGAGCTGCTGCTGCAGGACGAATTGCAGGCGGTGCAGCACGGTGGACCGAAAGACGCCATGTCTGCCCTTGTACTTTTTGCCACTGTCTAGGACCAGTCTTGAGCGTGGATCATGGCCCTGGCTAATCTAGGCAGGATATCAATGTCAGTGAGGGTGAGAGACGGGAGTGAGAAAGAGCAGCCCTACCGAGTCGGCTCTGGGCTCAAGCTTTGGCTTTTTATATATTTTTGGTTCGACCTTCCTTTCCGGCGGCCGCTCGACGGCGACGCGATGTGGCCTCCCCTGGCTTTGCTGTTGCGCGTTGGTAGCCAGTAGTCGATGGCAGAGTGAGACTGAGGGTTGGACGGTGCAGGCCCGTCTGCAGGCAACACGTATCATGGCCGTCCTACAATATTTGATTCATTTCCCTGGCGCCCAGTCAGCGGTTGTCTCGCAAGTTGACAGGCGTCTTTTGCTGCGGTTTCTGTGTTGGTCAAGTTGATATCCAAAAATCTAGACATAAATGTACAAGGCGCCAGTCGCAGCCCCTGTATGGCCGGATCAACGCCACGCCGACCCGCTTTGGTGTGGCTTGGCTTTCATTGTAGGCGCCACGCTGGAGGCCGTAGAATTAACGCCAAGCAAGTTATAGTGAGTTACAGTGCTTTCCGCTGTGTTGCGGCACGTGTTTCGCCATCATTACAGTGCGTGCGTCATTGGCGTCGCAAGGCTTCCCCGAATCTTATCTCCTCATACCACTTCATTAAGCCTTTTCTCTCGCCGTTGCTACCCTTCTGCTTGTCGCACGACCTCCCCGGACACAGCCACGACATCATCGACGCCGCGGGACATCATCACACTGCACAGTACCAACACATCCGCCAGCCATGGCTTCCTCATCGACGCCAGCGACGCCGCTGCTCTAGTACGCATCTCACCCCCCCCCCCCCCCCCTGTCGACAGCTCTTCTCTCGCAGCCCTTCCGCCATGCTAACACAACGCGCTCCCCTCGCCGCAGTTCCTGCATTGCGCACAAGACGACCATCCTGTCGGAATGCACCACCTCGGCGTCGTCGCAGACCTCCTCGCTCGCGTCCCTGATCCTGCCCAAGATTGAGCACGCCAAGCCGCAGAAGCTCACGTACACGCACGGCGCGCACCAGATCCACTACATTGCCGAAGCGCCCTCGGAGCACCCCGACCACCCGGCGGCCGGCGGCCTGACGTTCCTCGTCGTCGCCGACGCCGCCCTCGGCCGCCGCGTGCCCTTTGGCTACCTCGTCGAGGTCCGCCGACGCTTCTTTGCCGAGTTTCCCGCCGCCGCCGGCAGCGACTTTGCCGACATGCCCAACTACGGCGCCGCCTCGTTCAACGGCACGCTGCGCACGCTCATGGTCGACTACGGCGCCACGAGCGGCGGCCAGAGCGACGCCATTGGCAACGCGCGCCGCGAGATTGACGACGTCCGCGGCATCATGACGAAGAACATCGAGAGCCTGCTGGAGCGCGGCGAGCGCCTCGACCTGCTGGTGGACAAGACGGACCGGCTGGGTGGCAGTGCGCGCGACTTCCGCGTGCGCAGTCGCGGGCTCAAGCGCCAGATGTGGTGGAAGAACATCAAGCTCATGGCTCTGCTTGCTCTGGTCATCTTTATCATCATCTTGGTTATTGTCTTTTCCGTCAAGAACTAATAAGCGCTTCTGCGCACGCGAACGATACAGAACTGTTAACGGGTAGTCTATTAGTATGTGTTTATTGCACAAAACCATGCCAGCGGTACGGTCATGGTTGTTGGGATTGGCGTTTTCTTCCATCATCACTAGCACTCGTTTTCTTTCCTAGCTTCCAAATAGCCCTCATTCAGACAGTTTCCTCATCTCCGACAACAAAATGCATCCTTCCCGCTATATCTGTCGCATGCCATGTCGCAACGCCCCGAGAATGTACCAAGCCCGTCAAGCCAAACTCCAAAGGACCCATCACCAGTAACCTGGTTCAAGCTGCATATTCGTCTTTGAAAGCACGTAGAGTACACGCAAGGTCCGTGTCGCCCCCCTCGCTACTGCCCATCCTCACTCATAACTTGGGCAGGTTCCCCGCAGTATCAGCCTGCCTCGTTCCATCCTGATATATGTATCCGTGCGTGACAGGACTGTTCAACTGCTGCGGCACCGCAGACACCGCTGACCGACGGAGCCTGTCGGTGAAGAACGCAGGGTGTGTGGTGGAGGCGCTGTAGGGGAAGTGCCGGTTCCAGGCTTGCTGCATCTGCGCCGCGGCGCTGGGGTTGCTTGGCGGCGCTGGATCGGTTGGCGCCATGGTATGTGTGGTTATGTACGCAACGCGAGATTGTGCGCGCCGGTGTGCAGACAGAGTCTGTATGCTAGAGATCGGGAATGTTGGCTAGGGGAAAAGTCGAGATGTCGTGTGATGGGTTGGTTGTAAGTTAGTGACGTGAGTGCGGTGACATCGACCGAGGTCCGGCTCGCGCCCGCTTTTTAGCGTCTAGGCCGCCGATACAGCCTGCACGCCAACGCCTTAGTCAGCTAGATGTGTTATTCGATTCATCAAGGTCATTATTTGATTATAAGTATTCCATTACATGTGTTGTCAAAGTGGTGTATCCTGGATGGCGTCTGGTCGTTTTCGACGTTTCAGTATCGTGTTCATTCACGATACCGTCATGTGTCGCTACCGAACCGAGGTTGCCTAGGTATGCGTGTAAGTGATCCAATACTTTCAAGCCACCAAGGGAAATAATAAAAACTTTTCTTATACATGCTATATATATTGCATCTGCGGGTTCTTCCACCAAGACTGTCCCTTATTTGCCCATCATATGTGTTGTCAACCTTCAGCCGGCCAATTAGCCAAAGAATTGGCCTTGTCTGACCCGCGACGCGGAGCTTTCCCCCACGCTGGGCTATCACATTGATAGCCAGCTAGCGGTGCTGCAACGCGGTACCAAGAGGAGTAGGATAGGACGGACGCGCGGCAGTCAATTTAATATCTAGGCAGTCTGTTCAGGTTTGTTAAATGATGCGGACGATGTCGCAGCGAGATATGTTTGCAGTTCAGCTCGACACGGATTCGTTACCAGGACGGCATGTAATAATTGTGACTTGGGCAGCCGATCACGGAATTGCGTGAGCGCTAACGGTCCAGGGACCTGTCTCGGCCGTCAAAGAAGCACGGTACCTACGAGCGAGTCGAGGTGCTCAAAGAGTGATAGGCCACGCGTCTCAGTGCGTGCCGCGTCAAACGTATAAAGTATCAGTCAATTATTCGTGTACTCTGGGATTTTTGGCACGCGTCCCTGCCAGCTTACCAAACCAGGTGGTCTGTGCGTGAGCCGCCTTCTGGCCGGCCAGCTACCTGCCTCTCGCCAATGCTCATCTTGTTACATCGTTGATGAGTGAACGACCGCCCACGAAACGCCCACGAAAGTATCGGACTCGAAACTATGTCGCCAACGACATCAGGAGATGACGAGATTCAATATCCATCAGGATTTGGATATAGTGATCTTGTAGGATGGGGAACTACTGGTTTGGTCGTCCTCGATCGACGAACCCAGACTATCATCAAGACACCTTTTGATCCTCAAGACGAAGAGAACGTGTGTCGGTTGTTGAGGGAACGGCAGGTATACGAACGACTTTCCGAGCGCGGCGGACATGAAGGACTCCTGTCTTTTATAGGGCCTTTCGAATCAGGCATCCGGCTCGAATACGCCCCTAATCATAGTCTCCAGTCGTACAATACGGAGCACGACATCGAATTCGCCCAACGACTGCGCTGGGCAACAGAAATTGCAACGGCACTTGACTTCGTCCACCAGGCTGGTGTTATCCACGGAGATCTGACATGTGCAAACATATTTTTGGATCAAAATCTGCATACAAAGTTGGCTGACTTTGCTGGGTCGTCAATAGACGGGTCCCCGCTCCTAGTCAACGTTACGGACAGTCATCAATTCTTTGGGCCCCTTGTGTCCGTTCGAGCTGATTTGTTCGCATTCGGCAGCGTGCTTTACGAAATCATGACTGGACACGCTCCATACGAGGGGTTGGATGAGACAGAGATTCGTGATCGATACCAGAAACGCGAGTTTCCTGAGACAGACTCACTAGAAGTCGGCACCATTATCAAGAGATGTTGGCAAGGCCACTATCAGGGATTGGAGGCAGTTGTCAAAGAGCTGAGAGGTATGTAGTATAGTGGTTGCTCTACTTTCATTAGTGGGGTAGTCTGCTTGGCTTGTTCATCCCTTGATTTCCGACCCCATTCTACTACCTATTAGATCTCCGTTATGGATTTAGAACAATTTATCCAGGCACGGCAGAACGGCACCCGCAGACCGCGATCGCCATCCCAGCGCACCCCAGAATCCTCGAGGCATCTCAACACCGCGGATATTATTGAGGAAAGGATGCAAAATGATGGCCATCGCTTATGGGGGTTCGTAATCTATCGCACCACCTACGCAAACGACGAAGACTGGGCGTGGTGTTTGAGCCGCATTCATGAGGCAACCCAAGATTGCTTCGAGTTTTGTAATGGACGAGACGTGCTAGACCTTAAAAAAAGCACTATTATAGACAATGTGCAGATTTTTGATGGCATCGACTCACATGCTCTACGAGATCACTTTCGCCAATGGGTTGCTGATAACCTGGTTGAAGAGCAAGGTGAACAGTCCCAAACTACGTCTTATCTATCTCCCCGGTATTGATTTGCAATTCAGATTGATGCCGAAGCACTTGGATCCATTGTCAACCAGCCTGACCTGACCTATCTTATGTTGCCTGTGGATCAGAGAGGATGGCTGAAATTAATTGATGTAGACTGGTGTGCAGGACGTTGGTCTGCAGACGAAGGTTTTGAGGCTATCGAGGGGATTACACAGGAGGAGGTTGGGTGGATGAAGCAACCTTGGTCAGACGTACACGGAGACCTTTACGCTCACTGCTACGACCGTAACTTCTGGCCTGTATCCTATGTGCGCCCTCCAGTTCTTCCTCATTAAGCAGAATGACTGCTATAAGCTTAACAATGATTTTTTTCTGGTTTTAGTCTATTCTGAGTTGTGGATCTTTTTTTTCTCTAAAAGATTTTAGATACAACTAGAATTCAACGACTAATTGGCTGCCGCATCGGATAGCACCGTTTATCAGGATCTCAGCCCTGGGCTCGTTTGCTGCCAGTTGGTTGACACGCAGCAGGGTATAAGAAGAGGACCCTACTGTACAGTCTAGCACAACTGCAGTAAATTATACGACACCACAAGGCAAAGAGAACTACGAACCACGAGTTTGACGTGGCTCGTTTTTTACCTGCCCATCTAGGCATCGTTATGATCAAATATCTGGTGTAGATCCGCCGCGTTGCCAGTATACTCCGCTTTGAGGTTCATGCAGCACGCGAGAGTGGGCTAGAACAAGCATAAAGTAGGCAACGTCGACTATCAGTCGGATCCATCAATGAGAAGTGGTACCGCACGATCGCAGGAATGAGTCGACTGCGAGGAGAGCGAGCGTAAGGCGCGGCAATGTGAGGGGCACTGCGAGGGAAAAAAGAATTCACAGGTACAACAGAGCAAATGGCTTGAGGGCAAGCAGGTGTTTGCGCACTAGGAAATGGAGGGCCGGAACGAGGACCGGGTAAGGATATGGGGGGGGGAGGGAGGGGTCTGGCTTCACGAGGCTGCCACACAAGAATAGCTCAGAGGGCCACTAGCCACCAACCAGCTAGCCGAGAAGCTATGGGGGGGGAAAGCCGTCCAGAAGTTGGAGCCTAACAATCAAGCGGACCTGAGTGGGCGATGGACGATGGATAAATCGACTAACGGGCGACTGGGCTAGTGGACGATGGAGAAATCGACAGGTACGTGGACGGTGGGCAGAATGCAGGCATGATAACCCATGCATGTGTGCAGCTAAAATAAGCCACTAACGAGCGTCGATGGTGGCGGATCGAGTATAGAGGTGGACAATCGGGAGTAAGCTGAGAATCGTCACTTGTTAAAGGGGGGAAATAAAATAGAACAAAGGAGGCACATAACTACCTAGTTAGCAACACTCCCCTCCTATGTTATCTAGTAGTCAAAAGGAAAGAAAGTAGAAAATGTCGTCCACCTAGGAGATAAGCTAAAAGGCAGAGAGGAGGCGGCGGGCCAACTACGAAGAGGGCTCTCAGTGGTATCGCAATAGAGGCTTAGAAAGCTTAACGCTACTAACGCGGCGAGAAGAAGCGAATAGATATATAGGAGGATGTGCACGCAGTAGCAAACACACGCCCACTAGCTAAGAGGTTGGCGGAGGCATATTGACAATATGCAATGCTACCAGCCTACACTGTCCACGGCGTTCACACCACCAGCCTGTCAGGCCATCATGCTAAGCAACAGGTGCCTCAGCCAGCCGGGCCTACTCTCTCCTGTTGTATACAGTGCAAATGAGGAGATATCCGTATGTGCAACGTGATTGACAAATAGCTAGTAGCGCTGCTTCGTACACAATATGCACTCTCTCGTCACATACCCCTCACCATCATCCGCAGCCCACATCGACACAAGATTTGTTGAAAATGGTCATGACAGAGCCGGAGACTTGGCCACGGGCAGCGCCGCCAGTTGCTCTACCAGCGTCGGCGAATACCGTGACTGTGCGGGCGATTGACACGGAGAGCAAGCTGCTCTGCAACGCCGATGCATTTGTCCAGCCCGCCATAGCGGGCCATGAGCTGCTCAATTTCACAACCATGTGTTTCCTTATTGAGCACGAACGAGACGCCGGTACAGACTACGTCTTGTTTGACTGTGGTCTTCGCAAAGACTTTTGGAATACCACGCCGGACATCCAGCGTAAAATCGGCATGTTTGTTCCCGGGATGGACGTTCGGCGCAGTGTCGACGAAATTCTCACGGAATCGGGGTTCAACTTGCCTGATCTGAGTAAGTCGCTACGGCGACACGCACTTGAGGCTTCTTTTTTCAGTTTTTGTTCTGCGGTGGGAATGAACTGCTAACAGCAAAACAGAGGCCATGGTCTGGAGCCACTGGCACTGGGATCACATTGGCGATGGAGCCAAGTATCCTTCCGAGACGGACATTGTGGTCGGGCCGGGATTCACAAAGGAATTCGTACCAGGCTGGCCGGAAGACCCGAATGGACGGGTTCCATCCAGCTCGCTCGAGTATGCATCTATAAAAGTTGAATGACATGCGCTGACGGGGTGAAAAGAGGACATCGCATTCATGAGCCGGATTTTCCGTTGGAGGTGGGAGGGTTTCCCGCCCATGACTACTTTGGCGACGGGTCTTTTTACCTGCTCGATGTACCTGGCGTACGTTTGCATTCGCCTTGTCCTATTCTTTCCCTCTTTACTAACCCCTCCCAAGCATGCGGTCGGGCACATTTGCGGGCTCGCCCGCACCACGCCAGACACATTCATCTTCATGGGCGGCGACTGCTCGCACTATGCCGGCATGATCCGGCCCACCGAGTACGTTTCCCTGCCCGACCACATCCCGGCTGGCCAGCTCGACGCGCACTTCCCGCCCTCCTGCCCGTGCTCCGCCTTCACGGCGCTCCATCCGATGGCGAGCCGCGACGGCGACGACCACGCGAAGCAGCGATCCGCCGCCCGGTCCAACGCTTTCTACGACGTGGCGCGCAACCCGCACGGGGCGTACGAGTTTGGCGATCTGGCGCAGAGCAGCGTGGACAAGGTCAAGATCCTGGATGCCCAGGAAAATGTGCTCGTCTGCCTCGCTCACGACGGCGCTCTCATGGAGGTCTTGCCGCTGTACAATGACAATGTCAAGGCGGATGTTAATGATTGGAAGGAACGTGGGTATAAAGAAAAGACGCGGTGGGGGTTCTTGAATGAGCTTCCGAGAGATGGGAAGCCCGGTCGGCCGCCTTTGACTGTAGGGCTGTGGCGAGATGGGAACGAAATGGTCTGGAAGGACGGAGAGGGCTTGGTAGAACTGAGCTCCTAGTTTGGCACGTGTACGCACGTTACTCGCTTCGTGTTTTTTTCATGAAAGAGTAGTTTTGGTCTTCCGTGAATTTTTGTTTTATATAATCGTTCATGATTGGTATACAATTAATATCCATTAAACGCCTTTTTTTTGCCGTACCCCATGTCCGATACCCAAAGCCGAATTAAAAAAGCAAGCTACTCAAAGGACCGTGCCTCGAGGATAGTCCTGATGAGTCTGGTATTATTCGACGACGCAATCCTGCTGCCGACAATAGGCCCAATAAACTCATTTAGCTCATTGAGCTGCGCAGGCGTCACGGATGCGGTGTCGTTGAGGATGAGGGCGTCGGCGTGCGTGACCAGAGAGGCCACAGCCTGCACCAGGCCTTGGACGAGCATTTCGTACTCAATGGACCCTTCCGACTTCTCCTTCAGAGGCTGCAGAATGCCCGAGTCAAAGCTCTTGAGGTTGCGCAGGACCAGGAGGCGGACAGCCTCCGGCCCGCCCGCCTGGAGAATACCGTTGACGGCGCCGTACAGCACGGCCGGTGGCTTCGTCGGGTCCAGGAAGTAGCGCAAGCACGTGCGCGTGAGCTTCGGTCGGAGCAGCGAGTTGGAGGCCGCGTACTTGTGCGCCATGCGGCCGATGAGGGAGGCGGCGAGCTGTCGCAGCTCGTACTGGTCCTTCATGGCGTCGACGCCGTCGTCGGTGCCCAGCTTCCGCGCCATCAGGCACGTCAGCACCGGGGCCGAGAGCGAGGACGCGTACGGATCCAGAAACAGCGTCTTGTTCTCAATCAGGGCGTTTGTCAGCTCCATCATCTGCTTGAGCGTAAAGGTGTCGTCGAGCTGGTGCGTGACGCGGTCCATGATGAAGTTGATAAAGTACGGCGCCAGCTGGTGCAGGCCCGGGTCGTCACGGACGGAGCCGAGGGCCGCCTGGCGCAGGCGGACGACTTCCTGGTCGGGGTTCTCGTCGAGGATGGCGGCCTGGATCTTGTCAAAGTACAGGATGAGCTCCTTGCTCACAATGTGCTTGACGGAGGGGTTCGTGGGCGCGTTGTCGTTGCCGGCCAGCGCGGAGAGGGCGGGGTTGGCGCCGGTGCCCTTGGGCAGCAGGTCTTGCAATCTCGACTCGGCCGTGGTGGGGTTCTGGGGGATCGAGGGCTGGACGCCTTCGATAGCGAGCCAGTGTGCTGTCCCCTCTGCGGTTAGCCTCGCTGTTGCGGTCCCCAAGGGGGGCGCGGCGCGCGCGGCGCCATTGGGCGTTACCTACCAGTAAAGTTCATGTCTCGCGGCACCTTGGGCAGGGGCGCGTTGATAAGCTTCTCAAACTCGACCTCCTCGTCGTCAATGTAGAAGAGCGGCTGGCCGGGCCCCATGCTGGCCTCGCCGAAGCGCAGCGGGCGCGTCGAGTCGTACCCGTAGAGCGGCTCGGCGTCGAGCACGCGCAGGGCGAGGGAGACGTCATTGACGGTGAGGGTGGTGCGCCGCGCCGCGCGCATCAGCCGCAGACTCTCAATGATGACCTGGCCGACGCGGTACTCGACGTCCTGCGCGAGCGCCTTGGTCGCCTCCTCGTTGAGCGCGCCGATGCCGACCGACTCGGCCACGTCTTTAATGTTTTCCGAGTTCCACAGGAGCTTGGGCACTTCGGACGCCATGGTTGTCGATGGGGGGAAAGGGGTTCGTTGGCTGCGTGCCAGCGAGAACGTTGGAAATGGTGCCTGCTTGTGCAAGGTGCAACTTCGTTTGCGACTGCGCATGCGAAATGGAGCCGCGAGCAAGTGGGTCCGCGTGTCTGTCCCTCCAGTGTAGGGTAGCAGTGTTTTTCACTGAAGCTGGGCAATTAGCAGCGCAATCTCGTCTGCCTTCAGCCAAGTTGACCAGCAGAATTCGGTAAAAAGTGCGTTGTTGGTTGGAGATGCTACATGAGATGTTTTACTTGCGAACAATCCAAATCTTCCGTGAGCTATCACGGCCGCGTATTATTTTACTCTGAATGAGACTACTTATCAGTCCAGGGGGTCCATCCATGGGCTAGCTTCTTTCATCTCAACAACAAGCTGCTAAGACAGTGAACTGCGCATCTCAGATTAAGGGCTGAATGCTGGCGTTTCGCCTCTTTGACTTGCCATACGTTCGTCTAATGTGGCTAATTTGCGTGGAGCGGCATCCTGCTTGGCACGAAAACGGCCAGACACCACTCCATTCGCAGATCTTCTGACGTCAACCAACGTTTTCGGATGAATCCAGCGGAACACACTAACTACATCAAGCTGTCGTCATGGCGGTGGAATGCTCAAGGCAAGCTTCTGACTTGTACATTTTCCCTCAGCAAACAACAGATCTTTGCTTTTATTTGACTCAATTTTCTTCAACCTCTGCTCGTTTCCGAACCCCTCATCCCCGATGGCTCCCAAGATTCTCGTCGTTTTGACTAGCGCGGACAAGATTGTCAAGCTTGACAAGCCCACTGGCTGGTACTTGGTAAGAAAAGCATCGTGAAAAAAAAAAAAATATGAAAATCCACACGAGAGTCTCAGAGGAAAAGGCTCCTTTGACCGAATGAGTACTGACTCGCCACTTGACAGCCAGAGCTTGCCCATCCGTACGATGTCCTTTCCCCCAAGGCCGAGCTCGTCCTCGCCTCCCCCAAAGGCGGGGTAGCGCCCCTCGACCCCAGCTCCGTCGAAGCCTTCAAGAATGACGCGTCGTCGCAAAAATTCCTCGAGAAGAAGCTCTGGGAAAAGACGGCCCCTCTCAAGGACTTTGTCGGCCGCTCCGGCGAGTTTGCCGCCGTCTTCTACCCTGGCGGCCACGGCCCCATGTACGACCTCGTCGACGACAAGGACTCGATTGCGATCATTGAGGAATTCTACAAGGCGGGCAAGCCCATCTCGGCCGTCTGCCACGGCCCCATTGTCTTTGCGCATGTCAAAGTGGACGGCAAGCCGCTGGTCGAGGGCCGTACCGTCACTGGCTTCACCAACGAGGAGGAGGCCCAGGTGGGCCTGGCCGAGGCCATGCCTTTTCTGCTCGAGGATCGCCTCAAGGCTGTTGGTGCCAAGTGGACGCAGGCCGACCAGGCTTGGGGCGAGAAAGTCGTGGTGGACGGCCAGATTATTACAGGCCAAAACCCTGCTTCTGCTCATGCGGTCGGCGTTGCTCTTGCCAAGGCGATTGGTGAGTGGTCCATATTACCTGGAGATTCACGCTAACAGATAATAGGTATCTAAGTTCGATTTTGGCTTGTGACAAGTTTATTTATTTATTTCTGTTTAACGCCGGGGGAATCCCTGAAGAGGGCAAACGGCGCCTGCGGGGGACCTATCAAACCTAAATCTTACAAATAATTCTGGCTTGTGACGAAAAAAAGAGTGTAAAATTTTGCAATCAATCGCTATTTACTGGTCCATTCATGCGATAAGGTGATCTAGCCATTAAGCATCTTGCCCCTAGGATGGTAGAATACGCCACTGATTCGTGATACTTGAACCGTGACGTGGCCTGGTTGCCAAGGCGTTCGGGCCTGATCGTGTGATATTGACGCTACGCTGTTCCGGCTGCCGCTGTGGGGCCGGGGCTCTGGTGGGCGTTCACAAGCCAATGGCGAGCATTATAATTGCATTCTCATGGCATGTGTCCAACGTCTATTTATTTTGTGGGGTGCGTGCTCCTGCCAAAGTCTCAATACCTCGGTCGGGGCGGCCTCAACAGCTAACTCAGAAATCTCAACATTCAAAGAATAGCGGCTACTTCAATCGAAGCTTAAATAGGGCCCGTGGCTCCGTCTTGTATCATGGCCTGAAACTAATAACTCGCACATAACAACCATGTCATCCACAGCCAAGATGAAAACGGCCGCCAAGGGCCCAGTCCGCATCTCGCAGAAGATTCTGATTCCATTGAGCATCGTCATGATAGTTGCAGCGACGCTGGCATTTTTTAAACATACGCCCATGACTGCAACGGTCCCGAACGGCAGGGTGTTTACATCGAGTCGCATGCCGGTACGGGCCAACCGCCAACCGCCCCGTCCCCAAGCCAGAGCACAGCACTAATGATGAATCCAGACCGGAGAGCATTTCCTCCATCACCGCCAGAAAACAGCCCCGATGTGGGTATATCGCGGCCTGCACGCTGTCCCGGCCATCATCTGGAGCATCGGCATGCCGCTACAGCATGTCGACAGCATCCGCAAGCGATGGCCCGTCCTGCACCGCACCGCCGGCTACGTGCTGCTGTCCCTCTCGCTGCTCCTCAGCATCACGGGGGGATGGTTCCTGTTTGCCAAGCACGCTTACTCGCATGACAACAGGTTCCATCTGCACAATCTAAACGGCCTCTCTCCCATCCCGTGGCCGACGTTTGAGGTCACGACCTGGGCCGTCACGCCTGCCTACTGGCTGACAATGTACAAGACGGTCCGGACGGCGCGGGCCAGGGACTTTGCGCGCCACCGAAAATGGGCCGTGCTGCACACGATTTGCGGCTCCGTCATCTCGGCCGAGCGCGTCAGCCTCGTGGTCCTGTACGCCGTCGGGTTCGCGACGACCTTGTGGCCCGAGGCCGTTGTGCACGACTTTTTCGGCGTCGGGCGCTCGCTCAACGACGTGGCCGAGGCGGAGCTGAGCGTGTTTGCCCTGGGAAATATGCTCGCGTTTGCCGCCGTCCTGCTCTGGGTCTACTACGACTTTCGCCGCGCAGGGTACTTTGGACGCGCGGGAGGGAGGCTGTCGGCGGGGGGCGGGACGGCAAATGCGAAGAAATTGATGTGATGGTATCGTGTGGGTTCGCTTGTTAGATGAATGAAAGCCAATCTTACACATGATGAAAACGCTGAAATGCGCATTGATTGCAACGCACAACATGATAATGAGCCACGCAGCGAGCGGAAGTGTAGCGCAGCATTCCTCGGACAAGTAAACGCACAAGTATATATTTCTGAAAAAAGACCGGGGTTATCTGGATTATCTGGCTAATAGCACCCTCCACGGGAGCTTCGGAGACCGTCGGCTGGATGAAGAAGCGTCCCTTTTGAGTCCGCATGCCCTTCCTTGCGTCTTGAACATCAGTAGGACGAGTGCTGAGTCCATATTCTCGCTCGCACGACGACGTCGGGGCGATTGAGTTATGCCAGCACCCGCCTCTTTCTGCCAGCGTTGCCATCGTTGCCATCGTTGCCATTATTTTTGCTGCCACTGCCACCTCCGGCACCTCCGGCCCCACGACCGCCGCTGGCACCACCGGCACCGCCGCCGCTGGCACCACCGGCACCACCGGCACCGCCGCCGGTATTAGCACCGGCGTCACCACCGGCACCGCCGGTATTAGCACCATTGACACCACCGGCACCGCCGGTATTAGCACCATTGACACCACCAGCACCACCATTACCATTCTTGCTCTGGCTATTCTGGTTTTTCTGGTTCTGGTTGTTCTGGTTGTTCTGGTTGTTCTGGTTGTTCTGGTTGTTCTGGTTATTCTGGTTCTGGTTGTTCTGATTGTTCTTGTTATTTTTGTTATTCTTGTTGTTGTTGTTGTTATTGTTGTTGTTGTTGTTGTTGTTGTTGTTAGGAGTCTCAGTCACCTGATTGCCGCCCTGAACAACAGACGGCGTTTCCTGGGGAAACGTGCGCGTAATGACCTCGTCGCCCAAGAGCGCTTGGACAGCCGCCAGGTTCTGTCGGCCTTCCTCGGAACCGGCCACCTTGTTGGCTTCGACCGACTTGCCAAAGTCGGCCTGGTTGATCTGCACCTGGTCCAGGATATCAGTCAATTTTTGCGCCGTGTTAATGGTGTTGGGGCTGTTCGACGCGGCCTGCGTGTTGGTCTGCTGCACTGCAAAGCAGCCGCCAAAGGGTCCGGCGATTGCGTTGTTGCGGCAGCGGACTGTGCAGACATTTCCGGTGGAAGCTGTCCCATGGTTAGAAAACATTTCCTGGGCGATCGTGGATAGCGCAAACTTACCACCAGTGCACTTCAAGTCATCGGGCATCTTCACCGTGATGTCAAATGCCTGCGTCTTGGCCTGGGACAAGCCATTGGTGCCCGGCACGTTGTCGACCACGGTCAGATTCTGGGAGCCGCATTAGTTTGTTTCTGCGTGGATATACGTTTGGAAGAGGATAGCTAACCTGAATACCGACGCCAGTATTGCTTGTCTGGTCGATATCACAGAAAAACGGCCCTGCACCGTCGGCATTGACCTGGTGGAGTGTGACGGTGACCTCACCACCGGGCTCGACTTGAGTCACAGCGTTTGCAGACAAGGCATTCTCTGTATTCTCCCCAACATCGACATTTCCCTTGAGCTCCGTGCGGCCACACTGATTCACAATGTTGGCCTTGATCTCTGCATCGCGGATGATGGTGGTATCCTGCTGGCAGGGGTTGATAGTGATGCAGTTGCGAGCGATGGCAGGGTCGACTATGGAGGACTGTTAGCGATCATGATAGATAAAGAGACAGGATGTTGTTGCATGCCTTGGAATCCCACACTGGCTGGAGAGCCTTTGGTGCCCTGGGCATTAAGGATGACGGCATGACACGCGCCCAAGGTAAGGAGCGGCGCAGCCGTGAGGAGAGATGTCGTCCAGCGCATCGTGAAGAGAAAGTGCAAGAAGAGCTAGTTGTTATAACGAGACAAGCTTGAAAAGGAAGCGAAAAGGTTCGATCACCAGGATCACGAGTGGCACTGCTAATGATAGACGGTCAGAAAGCCAAAGACGCCAGCGAATGTAGAGACAAGTCAGGCATGATGGACTACCAGAGACATGAAGGATATATATATCTGCCACCGAAAGAAACCTTCTCAATGTTTCGGACGACTGTCTATGAAAATCCACATTTTCCGATGCTACTTTTGTTACAATGAAATGGATCTGCAGTGGGACCCCTGGGTATAGCAGATAGGGCCGGCGGGTTTCGAAGCTCGACCCTTGGACCAACAGTGTGTTGATGTCCATGTCCATTTTGAGATATAGGACCGGTTGTGATGATCAATGACGCTGCATCCTGGGCACTTGAAGCGCCCTCAGGCCCTATCCGGTGCATGAAAGGCCGCCCCCGGCCGGACGGCATACCAATTACCGACACTGGACTTTAGGCGCAGTGAGGTAGGAGTAAGAACCCCTGGTTTTCTGTATCCTATGCATCCCACGCTGCTACTGTACCAGAAGTCGTTGGTGGAAACTCTATATAGCCTTTGGGTAAATATCTTGGTCGCCGGGGGGCCGAAACACTACAGACTCTGAGGATGCACATATCGTGGCGCGAACATCCTTCCAGATCTTCGAAACAGTGATCAATTGTAACAGCCTAATCACGTTAAACTATTGTGATGTGTGTTGATCATACGGTATTTTGCTTGGAACCTCAACCGTACATCTAAACGGAAGCTTGGTATAAAACGGCTGCGTCCAATCACGCTTCCACGTGCCCAGCGACGTCACTCAACAGATGGCCTGCCGTGTATCGAACTGGTAAGGTTCTGACTCAATGGCCTGCTATTGTGCACCAAAAACGGACGAGCCTATGGCCGAGTATGACCGAGTAGACGCCTGATGTATGGACCTGGACTGCGACAGTCGCGACAAAATTCGCCTGAAGTTGGGTAATCGCGGCTGCAAATCGAAACACTATTATAGGACTAGTATCAATACCTCTTGGCCAATTATGATGCACTTTCGGTGTTCGGCATGGAGAAAGACCATCCGATACGGGTTGTGGAACATGGGGGGAGGAAAGGGTCCATGTCCAAGTCATTTTCAGCGGCACATACCGCGAGCACAAGACACGATACACAACTACAACATCATTTTGGGATGGGATAAAAAGGCTAAGTGGTACCATCCAATCTCGTGCCCCTGTTGAAACAGTCGGCCGAGTTGAAGAGTCATCAGTTCACTACTCAAGACCGGTCACGTTGACCAACACGACTGAAACGGAGGGGGAAGATGGGAGAGGATAGAAGATGATGCCATGTGGGATTGTAATCAACCCGCTGGTCGTCGGCTTCGCCACGATTTCCGGAATTCCGTTTTGTGAAAAAGAGTTTCCGTCTTCTCGGGGGGGCGAAGCCTGCATTTCACCATAATTGATTTCTATCTTGTAACTGGAAAGATCTTGGCAAAGTCAAACTCCAAACAGATGAGACGCAGCTTTCTGTGGTTCCCTGCGAGACGGGCGCCCCCCCCTGACCCGGCTGATGTGCATTCGTGGCGCGACGGGGGATTAAGTGGCAGATCAAGTAGACCTATCCGTACTGCGGGTATAATACAGCGGTATCCCCGTCGGCCAGGGGAGAGAGGCTCATCCGTCGTGAGGATGTGAGACATGGGGCGAATGCGAAACCAGTTTCAACAACGCAATCCTCTAGTACAAAACTTTAAATGTCGCAACTCAAGGTTGTTTTAGTCTTTATGAGAGAGCAATCCGAGTTTCAGGGACCAATTCCGCATGGGATTATCAATCATCAATCCAGGGCCGCGTATGTCGTGGATGCTGGGATGCTCGGAGTATATATATAGATGGACCCTGTCTCCACGAAACGGCCTCCGACTATGCTGCACCACTTTCTTTAAGCCCGACCTATACTAAATTTTCACTCTCATGCAAATCCAGAAAACCTTGCGCTAGTTACGTCGTTGGACATAACATTCCCCGAACGACTCGACTCTCTTTTTGATTGGTTAGATGAAGCTCACCACCCTAGTTTCTGCCTCGGCGGCAGCAGTAGGGCTGCTGGCAGACCCGGTCGTTGGCAGAGCAGTCCTGTATTCCCGGGGCATCACGAGTGAGATTTCCCCTCTTTGGTCTCTTTCCATCGCAAGGCTAACATGGCTCCTAGTCCGCAGAAATGAGGCAAGCAATGCCACGGCTGGCAACACACTCATTCCCGTCGTCGTGGGCGGCCCGCAGGATCTCTTCGTGCCGAATCTCGTCCGCGCCAATGTCGGCGACGTTGTGCAGTTCCAGTTCAGCAACGGGAACCACACGGTGACGCAGAGCGCCGAGGCCAAAGGGTGCGAGCCCTTGCAGGCGACGGATCCCAATGCCATACACAGCGGCCACATCCCGTTCCAGGCGGGCCAGGTGGACGTGGGCACCTTCAGCATGGTCGTGCAGTCCACCGAACCCATCTTTTTATACTGCGCGACGGGCCCTCACTGCCAGACCGGCCAAGTCATGGTCATAAACCCGTGAGTCTTGAGACAAAATGTCATCAAGTTGACGCAAGCTGACAAGGGGAACAATACAGTACCAATAACATTCAGCTTGCAAACTACGCCAAAGTGTCCCAGTCGACCACGGAGAGTGTTGACGGAGCGCATGTTTCAGGCGGCATCGTTGGCAAGATTACGCTTGACAAAGCTGCCTTTGTCCCAGCACCACCGGAGGAGGGGGAAGCACCACCGGCAGGGGAAGCACCACCGGCAGAGGCAGCGCCAGCGAAGGAAGGTGAAGCACCGGCAAAGGAAGGGGAAACTCCGAAGGAAGAGGCACCGAAGGAAGAGGCACCGAAGGAAGAGCCAGCAAAGGAAGAGGCACCGAAGGAAGAGCCAGCAAAGGAAGAGGCACCGAAGGAAGAAGCAGCACCGAAGGAAGAAGCAGCACCGAAGGAAGAAGCAGCACCGAAGGGAGAAGCAGCACCGAAGGAAGAAGAAGCACCGCCAAAGGAAGAGGAAGCGTGAGCCACAGGCGTGCAAGACACGACTCCGTTGCATAATTAGGCGCACTCGCGGGAACGAGGAAAAAATAGCAGGAAAGACAGCCAGGCACCATTGGTTTGCATCTATTTGGCCAGCTGTGTTAATGGCCTGGGGACGGGGGAATCTAGCGGCTGGGACGCACTATTAATTCACATCATCATTGTTGGCGAACGTGGAGTTGGCAGGATTCAACGGATCACAAAACAAGAGTTTTTGAATCAAGACAAATATTTTCTCGTATACGAAAGTAGCATTGCGATTGAGCGGCAGATGATAGAAGATGCATTTCATGGGCACGGCCTTTGAGCCTGTTATGCTTCTCATTGGGGAGGTGGCGGGCCGCTCAGATGAAGAAAGAATTGGCGAAAGTGTCTCTAGTAAATGGCAATGTGTGAAGAAAGAACAGGGAAAAAATAAAGGTGCCAATATAAAGAATAAATAAGACAGATATAATAAGAGTAATGATTGAGAAAAAGTAGTAATATAATATATTAGTAATGTATTTTGCACCGTGGTGGTGGGCTCGTAGAAGTATGGCTCAGTCAGTACAGCAAAACAGGACTCAAAGGCGTTCAGTCAGCCAGCTCACATGTTCATGTGTTAAGAATTAAAGCACTTTGTAAAAACATGCTCTGAATAAATTTCCTTTCTCATAGCCCATCTCATAACCCATCTCATAACCCATCTCACTACTTCACAATCTGTCGTCGCTTCCCCGCCCAGCTCCCATCTCGTCGGCCGCAGACTCGCGCATATTCATGCAATATTGAATCCTCTCTTCAAAAAGGCTCAATAACACTCAGCCCCTCGTTCAATGTTCTTGACTTGGGACTCAAGCCCGAACCCAACCCTACCCGCCACTTGATGATCTCCATCGCCATCATTTCCATCCTCCTCGAATACACCAAACATAATCTTGGCATCCAAAACGTCCTTGGACACCGGAAGCGCTCCCAATGAAGAACCAACAAAAAGTTCGTCCAAGGAAGAGTTTCTCGTTGTCGCAAGAATGTTCGAAGAATTGATACCATGACTGACGCCGTTGGAGAAGAGAGCGAGGAAGCCCACACCGATGCTAACGAGAGTTACACCGATAGCAACCCCATACGCGATCCAGAGGTTTTGGGCGTTGTATCTGTATATGTTGATGGATCTGTCAAAAGTGACCATGGTGTCGTACCAATCAGTCTTGTTTGCCCTTGAATTTGAGTCAGTCTTGCATTTTCAAAAGGTTATGACATAAATATACCATAGTCTCGTGCTGCTGAAAAGGCTCAGGGTAATATTCCTCGACAGCTCCTCCACTAAATCGCCAAGTGAACTGTTACTGGTCAGTGCAGCATCTTTGGGGCTCGTCTTGAATATCTCTTTGTAGTAGGCATTGTTCACTCGATCTTCCAGAGCTCCCATAAGGGCAGTACTGTCGATGGACGTCCGCGCAGACCCCAATCTCATGATTACGTCCTTTCCTTCTCCCTTCAGTTCAAGAGAGAAATAATATGCTCCAGTTAGCATCTTTGCTATCGCCTTGCCAACTACCCCGTACGTTGGGTCATAGGAAGTATCCATATCTTGCCACTTGTGCGCAATGAGCTCAACCGTAGTCTGCAATAGAGAGGAATGGAAGCGAGCAGAGTATGATGTGTTTCTCAACAAACACGCGTAGGACTTCTCGCGAAGACGCATTACGAGAGGCCGACTTCGACCTCTGGGATCGTCGGAACAGACGGCGCCTCCTAAAACACAGTCCCGAGCAAAGTCGTCCGCGCCGCCTTTTGCACCAAACAACGAAAACCAGCGAAGATCTGGGGTAAAAGCCGTGTAAACCAACCGCATTTTGGAATATTTTATTGATATGCGTTTGAGTGGCATTCACCACCGCATCGAGAATTTCTAGTAGTCCTGGCGGTGGTTCTTGACACTGCAGGGATGGTCCGGTGAAGTGCACCGTCCATGACGAGTTTGGGGCTTGTGCGGGCATGGGCAGGATGTTCATGCTTGAAGCGGCCGCCATGGAGATCCTTGTAAGTAGAGGAGATGGCCTCCTCTGCCACGTGTAGACACTAAATCCATATTGATCCGGTTCAAACTGGAAATACAGCTGTGGGACTTTCTCAAATTTCGTACTGCGCTGGCGAGATGGGACAATAGTCAATGTTGCTGGTGTGATGAGGGCAGATAATGGCAGGAGCCTGTGACGCTGTCAGGACTTGACGCAAGGGGCACGGCGTGGGAAGGATCAGGGCAGAGAGAAATACACGCACCAGACCAGAGCCGCAAGAACAGTTGCTAGTTTGCAGCAGAGCAGCTCCGAGTTTATAAACGCGAGCAAGTCGGTTGGGGCGCTAAAGAGGGCGTCCAGGCCAGCGATGGAGTATGCCCTTTGCCGGCAGGACGTCCAGACGCGCTGTTTGTAGGCGACGACAATGGCGCTCGCAAGACACGTTTTGGCGATGAATGCGAAGCCCGTACCGACCCGGATCTTCCATTCTTGTCGCTGCAGGTCCCATCGCGAGGTTCCATTCTTCGTGGCTGTGACTTCTGTGCCGTTGAGAGAGTTGTAGAACAAGTGATGGCCGACGGAAAAAGCGACGCCAGCAGCGAAGAAGGAAATCATCTGCACAATAGTCAGCCAGTAGATGCCCCATTGAACGAGTTTCACAGGCTTGTACGGCCCAGGCGGCGTAGCCGCCCTTCGTGCTAGAGATGCAGCAGGCTCAGTAGGAGCATCATCGGCAAAGTCTGCGTCTGGAGGCTCATCGTGAAACTGGTACTGTTCAGAGGCGATCCCTGGCCGTTGTAGCTTGTTCTTTGCGGGGATAGAATTGGGCAATGAGCCGTCGACAGTACTGATGGCGGAATACATGACAGGCAATGAGAATGGCAAATGCCAGTATCGAGTTGAGAAGACGTCCAAGAGCCAAAGACGAGGCGGATGAAGATATTCAAAGAATCAAACTGTTTTCTTGCTTCGTGGCAGCCCCTATTGCCCGCAGCTACACATCAAGCAGGCGGCTGTCATGGGCCATGCATCGGCGGCTCGTTTCAAGAGTATTTGAGCAGAGCGCTGTGGCTTCTTCCTGCAGCATCTTGTTGTAGACGGAAACGATTGAGACAATGCAATGCAGAGATGACTTGATGCAGGTCTCAGTTCCGTGTGGCGGCAGGGGAGTAACCGTACCCTTCCAACTCGTGGCGGGGAGCAGATCTCAGGCCGCGACGACAGGATCCAGGGAACAACCTGGACTCGTTTACAGTATGTGATGGTGGCGTCTTTTGCCGCCTAGTATGTCTTGCTGAGATCTCAGAGGTGCACTATTCACTTTTGACAGCTATTCCGGGCAGAGCTGGCCCCCATGTTCCTCACACCCCTACAGGAAGGTGATCTGCAGAAAGGCAAAGTCTAGACCGGCTGTAGAGCACAAAACGTCCCGAAACGAATGCACATGTTCTCTGCACGTAGTCACCACTTCAATGCTGCCAGCCTCCTATAATTAGAGTCGGCCAGCCTGATGCGGGGATCTTATCACAGGACGATCATGATGTACTGGCCTGAGCTTTATAAATAGTACTGGCGTGGTAGGCAGTATTGGGTATCTTCGCCAATCAGAATTGATTCTGAAAAAAAAAATTTCAAGTGCTCCAAGTACTGCCACAGAGATGATGCAGGGCGTGTGTGTTCCAATGATCTGACATCACTTATGGTTATTTTGCATTGTGACGCTACAGCAGCGTTCAATGTGAGAGAGAGTGGCGAACAAGAGATCGGACAGGGCGCTAATAACCCCAAAATAATGAGGATGAACTATTCAAGTGTGATTTAACAGTTGCAGTCCATAGACGTGATTGCTGGACTAGTTACATCACGCTGGGTGCCGCCAGCCTCTGGATCCAGCCCCTCTCAGCAGCAGCAGGCTCATTGCAAAAGGCTTCTGAGTCATAGAAAAGGATATGGCCAGGCATCAGCCACGACCTTTCAGGGTACAGAGTATTCGGAGGGTTATTGTCTGCGTCCTCTCGGCTTCCACGGGTGATGGAGTGGTGATTCAGATTGACAAGGTCCACTGTACAAACGTGTAATTCAGCACTATAAAGCGGCCCGGGTTCCGCGGAGGCAGTGGCTGTGTTTATTCCAACTGCGCCATGTAACATACAATGCTTGGCTGGACCCGGCTTGCCAACATGCCCTCACCACTTACACTCGCGCTTGGCCTCGGTCAACCGGGATCGACGACAGGGTTGGCAGAGCCTCTACGGCAGCCTATAGGTGAGTTATCGCTAAATCCCAATTCACACCCAGTATGTGGTTAGATATGAAATAATACGTACGCAAGTAGGCCGTTATATTTTTTAGATATATATTATCCTTATAGCTAGTAAGCTAGCCAGCTAGCCAGCTAACTAGCTAGCTAGCCAGCTAGCTAGCTAGCTAGCTAGCTAGTAAGTAAGTAAGTAAGCCAGCTAGCTAGCTAGCGAGGAAGCCAGCTAGCTAGCTAGTGAGGAAGCTAGCTAGCAAGGAAGCCAGCCAGCAAGGAAGCCAGCAAGGAAGCTAGCGAGGAAGCCAACGAGGAAGCCAGCTAGCTAGCTAGCGAGTAAGTAAGCTAGCCAGCAAGGAAGCTAGCTAGCAAGG